GACCTAGCTGTCGTAACTAATGAACAGATCTCTCTCACAACCTGCTGTCGTAGCTAATGAACAGATCTCTCCCATGACCTAGCTGTCGTAACTAATGAACAGATCTCTCTCACAACCTGCTGTCGTAACTAATGAACAGATCTCTCCCATGACCTAGCTGTCGTAACTAATGAACAGATCTCTCTTACAACCTGCTGTCGTAACTAATGAACAGATCTCTCCCATGACCTGGCTGTCGTTACTAATGAACAGATCTCTCCCATGACCTAGCTGTCGTAACTAATGAACAGATCTCTCTTACAACCTGCTGTCGTAGCTAATGAACAGATCTCTCCCATGACCTAGCTGTCGTTACTAATGAACAGATCTCTCCCATGACCTGGCTGTCGTAACTAATGAACAGATCTCTCCCATGACCTAGCTGTCGTTACTAATGAACAGATTTCTCCGACAACCTGGCTGTCGTAACTAATGAACAGATCTCTCCCATGACCTGGCTGTCGTAGCTAATGAACAGATCTCTCCCATGACCTAGCTGTCGTAACTAATGAACAGATCTCTCTCACAACCTGCTGTCGTAACTAATGAACAGATTTCTCCGACAACCTGGCTGTCGTAGCTAATGAACAGATCTCTCTGACAACCTGCTGTCGTAACTTCTGAACAGATCTCTCCCATGACCTAGCTGTCGTAACTAATGAACAGATCTCTCTGACAACCTGCTGTCGTAACTTCTGAACAGATCTCTCCCATGACCTAGCTGTCGTAACTAATGAACAGATCTCTCTTACAACCTGCTGTCGTAGCTAATGAACAGATCTCTCCCATGACCTAGCTGTCGTTACTAATGAACAGATCTCTCCCATGACCTGGCTGTCGTAACTAATGAACAGATCTCTCCCATGACCTAGCTGTCGTTACTAATGAACAGATTTCTCCGACAACCTGGCTGTCGTAACTAATGAACAGATCTCTCCCATGACCTGGCTGTCGTAGCTAATGAACAGATCTCTCCCATGACCTAGCTGTCGTAACTAATGAACAGATCTCTCTCACAACCTGCTGTCGTAACTAATGAACAGATTTCTCCGAAAACCTGGCTGTCGTAACTAATGAACAGATCTCTCTGACAACCTGCTGTCGTAACTTCTGAACAGATCTCTCCCATGACCTAGCTGTCGTAACTAATGAACAGATCTCTCTGACAACCTGCTGTCGTAACTTCTGAACAGATCTCGCCCATGACCTAGCTGTCGTAACTAATGAACAGATCTCTCTTACAACCTGCTGTCGTAACTAATGAACAGATCTCTCCCTTGACCTGGCTGTCGTTACTAATGAACAGATCTCTCTTACAACCTGCTGTCGTAGCTAATGAACAGATCTCTCCCATGACCTAGCTGTCGTAACTAATGAACAGATCTCTCCCATGACCTAGCTGTCGTAACTAATGAACAGATTTCTCCGACAACCTGGCTGTCGTAACTAATGAACAGATCTCTCCCATGACCTGGCTGTCGTAGCTAATGAACAGATCTCTCCCATGACCTAGCTGTCGTTACTAATGAACAGATTTCTTCGACAACCTGGCTGTCGTAACTAATGAACAGATCTCTCCCATGACCTGGCTGTCGTAGCTAATGAACAGATCTCTCCCGTGACCTAGCTGTCGTTACTAATGAACAGATTTCTCCGACAACCTGGCTGTCGTAGCTAATGAACAGATCTCTCCCATGACCTGGCTGTCGTAGCTAATGAACAGATCTCTCTCACAACCTGGCTGTCGTAACTAATGAACAGATCTCACTCACAACCTGCTGTCGTAGCTAAAGAACAGATCTTTCTTACAACATGCTGTCATAACTTCTAAACAATCAAAGCATCGCTTACCAATCATGAAAGTGACAGTCGGAATGTGTTTTCCAAACATGCAACCTCGAAAACTTTAAAACAGGGTATTCCGAACTACAGTTACGGCCCATACGACTGATTCCGTCAATGACCTGGCTGTTGTAGCTAATGAACAGATCTCTCCCTTGACCTGGCTGTCGTAGCTAATGAACAGATCTCTCTGACAACCTGCTGTTGTAGCTATATGTTAGTGTCTTGAGGTGTGGATCAGCTGCTTGTGGTCGCAAGTTCCAACATGGTGATACTTACTGGGTGTACAGGAACATCAAACGTGTACTGTCTGTTTGTGAAGGAATTGGGTTTCTTCTACTTTAACAAATATCTCATTGGGGGACACCAAGAATGGGCTCTCATGACCGTATCCATCACGAGGCTACCCCATCCCCCACCCTACCCTTGGGGCAAAAATTACAGGCATTACTGGGATGCTAATAAATGCTATGGTGCAACTTGAAATGCAATCTCATTAAAATCAGATCTTAGTTCTCGCTATCGCTAAACAAAGATCTGAGGACATCCCATTACGGGTCACATCAGAATGACCCTTCATCCGACCAATCAAAGCATCGCTTACCAAACATGAAAGTGACAGTCGGAATGTGTTTTCCAAACATGCAACCTCGAAAACTTTAAAACGGGGTTACGGCCCGTACAACTGATTCCGTCAAAATTATCGTCTGTCTCTCGCTTCCGTAGGATAAACATTTGAACGAAGGTGTTGCACAGTACGTGGGAAGCACTGCCATACAATCGTATCCATGTAATAGACATCCTGGATTGTTCTTCTGTTCAGTTTTCAAAATTATAATCGAGAACTGTGTCAACATATTTTTCAAGCGAAGTCTGAAATGGAAGTCGCCATGTTGAAACAAGTGCTGTAAAGCTCATTGGCTGATATCGACTTCTTGTTATTTGTTTCAGTGGTCGGTCAAAGTTTGCAAAAGGTCGTTCTGACATGACCCGTGATGGGATGTCCTCAGATCTTTGTTTCGCGGCAGCGAGAACTTAGATCTGATTTTAATGAGATTGCTTGAAACGAAAAAACAGGGTCAGCAGGGAAAGTGAAAAAATGCTCATCATACCTCCATGTCCGAATGATGAGAACTGATTGGTCCACGTGATCTTGGTAAAATACTATTATCCCGCCTTGGAGGGAAATAAATTTCTCAACAGGTGAATAAATCCTTAATACTCCGCCATGAGCTAGACAGGCTGTGCATGGATTTCTGAGACAGAATAAATCCCTCACACCCTGCTTCCAAGCAAAAAGCTGCACACCTTTTCCGAATCAATGAAAGTCAATTGCCAAGCTGACCTCTGCTCAATTTCTATCTTTTACAATGTCAAATTAAAATATGTTGGTACTATTAATTCGTTATAGCAGCATAGGGTTTGATCAACCTCATTAAAATCAGATCTTAGTTCTCCGAGGTAGCAAGAACTGAGATATTATTTAAAGGAGGTTGGGTTTTTTATGTGCCCCTCATTGGGTATTGTACCACTCGCCTCCAGCTTGTGGTACAAAACCTAACGTGGGACACATAAAACCCCATGTACCCCTTGTGATCCTGCTACAATTTATATTATTTTGTGGGATTGGGAGTGGTGGCCCCCAGCCTGATGGGCCAACACTGTGCCGAGTGGGCAAGGACCCCCTTCCCCCTAAACCCAGCTATCTGTTTAAGACTTGGACACCTTACATCATTCCTCCTTCTGTCTGCTTCTGACTAGAGACAGGACACTGTACATTTGGATCCTCTCTGACTGGGACCATGCTTGTCCCTTTTTATGACTAATAACCAGTGAACAAAACTGTCAAAGTAGAGATAACCTTCACTCATAACAGGACACATAAATAGGAAGAGGTTTTAATGCTTAGTTTTAGATAATTGCATTGACTACAATCTCAAAATACAATGTTAAAATACCTCCAAATTTAAGAAAATAAGTACCTTTTTTTTTAAATCCCAATTTTTAGCAAAATAATGAATTTTCCCAAATTGTGTGCCAGAGGCACTTAGTTAAGAATCCTGGATAAAATTCCTGAATGCATGACAGCATTTGTTTCAGACAGGTAACTCCACCTTTGACTTGCAACAGAACATTATCTTTATAAAACGAACAAATAAAATTTTACTTGTAGTCTTTATTTGTGTGAGTGAGTTGTGGGGTTAACAAGTTTAATGCTTCTGTATGTATCACTGACCCCAGCATGACCAGGAAAGCCCAGCATGCAGCTGTGACCTTGCCCACGGCATGTACCTTTACTGTAGCCTTCAGTATTGACTACAAGTGTGTCTTATTTCATACTCAATAGATGTGATAGAGACAGCTGTGATTTAGTTGTAATTTTACTGACTAACCGTAACAAAAACCTATTTGTGTATACCATATTCATTTAGAACCAATCAAGGAATTATACTGCTGCTACCACTTTAAAAAATAATGTGTTCAGTTATTGGATATATATATATAAAGAAAGAAATTGTCAAATGTATCAGTTTTAAATTAAATCAATCAAACATAAAATGGACAGAAAATAGAGTAAAGATGCTTACATGTAATCAATTGAATTAATTAAATAGCTTCGTCGAGTTTAGTTGTAATGAAGTTGGAAGCATTTGGAACATTTTTTAAAAAAGAAAATGGTATTTTTGGTGGCCATGGTCATATTATGTGCATTGAATGAGGCCATACATATATTGTGTGCATGCTCTGGTAGACGAACAATTTTATCATATATGATAATAATAATTGATAAAGTGACCCTGGTCTCCATCACTAATAGACTAACTATCAGAATAACAGGACAGTTTTGAGAATGAATATAACATTTCACCACAAAAGCTGTCCAAACCTGTTCTAGTCACTCTGAGTGAAATAATACGCCCTGAGTTGTGCACCTGCATTTCCCGCACAGCTGTTGAATATGCAGATTGAAATCAGACAGAATATCGAAGTCGCATTCGTTGTCCGCCTTAAAACGCATTACTTTACAAACAAATAATACCATAAGTATCAAAGAACATACTGATAACGCTGTCGTGCGCGGTTGACCGTGACGGTAATTTATGCTGGATAAAGCTTACCTGCAATTTTGTTGATTATTCATGCATGACGTTTGACCTTATGTGGCGGCTACAAAGTCGTTATTTTCATTTAAATGTCAGCTTTGATTTTGTTGTCAGCTGCATAAACGGGTGAAATAAGTCCCCAAGTATCATAAATGATGTGAAATATGAGTTTAAATATTGAACTGGATGAATTTACCTGTTGTGCAAACTGCTGCAAACACGTCAGCTCTTCACTGGCCGAATCCAGGGGAATCCTCATGAATTCTAAAAATAGAAACCGGTATGCTCAGAAAAGTGTCAGTATTCGTCCGCACCGAGCGATAGAGGAAATAGTTCCTTTACATTTAATTCTAGATGTTTAGCTAAGCTTTATGCGTGTATAAACTGGTGGTTATTCATATAAATGACGGTCAGTGATTTATTATTTGCCTTTTTCGATATTTTCAAATGCCTAAAGTTAATCATGCTCTTACACTAAAACCGGTTCATTAAACTGGTTCACAAAATATAGCGTTAACAAGGGATACTTCCGTCTGTGTGTCGTACAGGGAATCCCCAACACGAGCGAAATGAAGACCGGCGAATTAGAAGTTAAACAAAGAGACCTCTTGTACAGATTGATTATCAGGTGTGACATTATGCATGTTTTTTTAAAGAACAGTTACTAGTTCTGTATGCCTTTGTTAATGCGAATCTGTTATTGTCTACGTTAATTTGAAGTTTATTCGAAGCTACTTTTACAAAGCATGGCAGCCGGTCAGCTTGAAAATATGGCAATATTGATGTATAGCCTAGTGATCTTTTCTCCACCATTTTGACTAAAAAGAATTGATGAAGGACAGTAAACAAGATTCTAAAACAAGTGCACTGATCGAAAAAGACCCGACTTTTTGCAACTTAATGATTGCAAATTCCAGTACAGTGACGTTTTCAGACAGAGATCATAATATGTGGTCTCTACTTTCATATTACTTCCATAATAACGTGGGGCAACCTCAACAGGTACACATTTCAAACAGCACATTGTAACTTTGGAAACTAAATATGGCATTTACTTACGATAGACTTTGTTTCAAGTCGATGTGTAGTGGCATCAATTTTATGGCAAAAATGCCAAGAATTACATCCCCATTAGGAAGTCATTGCTCTTTTCACACATGTCATTTGAACCAACAAATGCTCAGTAGAGATTAAGGCCTTAAAATTTTGTGTTGATTTTGGACCTCATCACCTGTAATGTTTGATTTCAGCCAGTTTATCTATGATGGGCACAAGGAATTGGCAGCAACGTTTGCGAGTGTCATCAAGCCCCACCCTGCCTGTCCCCCCTCAGACAGACTGCTGCAGCTGATGAAGTTGGGACTCAAAGTGGAGGAAGGTGAGAGGCCATGTTATCACATCCTCAATTATCCAGTGTATCATATCGTCGTACTATAGGTTTTCGGATGACCATGTTTATCGCAATTATTTGTGCTATATCAGGGGTTGTAGCGTCACACAGACATTGTAAATACTCAGATGATAACCTGTTCTTAAGATGAAGTTGTCTTTTATAAATGATTGAGATGTTTTACTGTTGTTCATGTGATTAGCAAGAAAACTACAAATGTTTCTTAATTGTCCGAAAACCCATAACACAGGGATATATCCGTTCGCTTCCTAGCATTTATTTGGTAAGTGATGTCGACATTTCATTTATACTATTTTTGTCATATGTATTACATTGAAGGGAAATCATAGAGTGTCTCGATGCATTTTGACTTTGATGTGGCTAAGATGAAATGAAAATGTCTTTTGTGTTCAAGTCAATTACATGAGTCTTGGTCGGATGTTTGGGACACAGGTACCCAAGTCCATAATCATGTTGTTTGCTGGAGACATATATCTTAGGATATTTGCAGGATTTGATCAACTTTTGAAAGGACATTCTTCTATTTCATTACAAAATTTGAATACGGTCTTCAGGACATATAGGCATTGGAGATTAAGCATGAAGGTCAAGAGGTACTTGTCATAGCAATACAATACAACTGCAATACAGTTTGATAACTTGCCTACATTTCACACAACAAAAGAACACGAAAGCTGAAAAATTTGGTCCAAATTCCATTTGTCAATAAGAGTTTCATGCTACAAGACTGTATATATATGAAATATGATACAGCTAAGATGTTGTTAACCATGATCACCAGCATTTTGTAAATCATACAAATACAAAATCTTACCTATCAGAAGCGCTCATAAAATCACCAGCGTCATCAAATCATCTGATGTTGTGACGTTTTGTGAAACATGTTGTGAAAAGATTTGTTACACTGTGTTTACTAATAACCATGGTAACTGTTCTATTCCAGATCAGAATGAATCCCGTGCTCTGAATCCTGAAATGGTTGCACCTGGTTCTGGTATCGATCTGGAGTTTGAGACTGAGGGTGAGGAATTCTATACTTTTTCTCATGATTCTTTACAGGATTTACCGAGTTTCTCAAGTTTTTAGAATGAATATACAGTCAAGTCCCATTAATCCGACATCGATGGTTGCAAATGATTATGTTGGATTAACGAGTATGTCGGATGAACAAAATTAAGTAGTATCAACGTTCGTGATTGAAAATCGGACAACTACACGATAGATACGGATTCAAACACGAAATACAAAAAAAATAAATAAATATTCATATTGTTATGTAACATTGTAGGCGGAATATGTTTTCTAATCATGCAACCTCTAAAGTTTAACACAAAACAACTGTTACAGACTGTATGACTTATTCAAAATACTTTAAAAAGCATAGTCTGGAATGGAAGTTGCAACTTTGAAACTGGTACCCCAAAGTTTAAGAAAGCTGCTTTCCATGTGGCTAACGTCGACTTCCTGTTGGTCATTTCATTAGTAGGTCACAGTTGTTCTGACGTGACCTGTAATGGGATGTCCTCGTTGATAGCGAGAACTTTATCTGATTTTAATAAGAATGAGGTAATCTAAGCATGTGATATATTCTGTTTTCTTTATTTAAAGCATTAATTGTTTATTGTTTAGCAAGTTTATCTCTGCAGCCATTGTAATATGCACCTACCAGCTGATTCGTCTCGCATCAAAACACGGGCAGATGACCCTGGAGTACGCTGATTACTGTGTCGGATTAACGAGACTGATTAATGTGTGATTTCAGTAATTCGTTGCAAATTAGGTGTGTCAGAGTCGGAGTGCAAGACTGTCGGATTAATGGGTCTAAATAGCATTGATTTATTCGGTTCCCATCATTAGTGTCGGATAAAGCCTATTGTCGGATTAATGAGACTTGACTGTGATAAGATATAGAGATTATTAGACAAGTGTGTTTCAGTTTTGTAAACACAGTCAAACACAGTTGTGTCGAAGTTGAAGAGACTTGCGAAAATACTTCAAGTTAGCCGAGGTTCAACACAACTGAAAACGACCTGTGTGTCCCAAGCCCTTACCTGGTCACCTCGTGCACGTGATGTTTTAGTATTGGTTAGTAGGTCTTCTTCTGGATATTGTCGATCTTTCCTTTTTGCATCTTAGCATGCTTCAACATCCTTCAGGTGTGATTAATAGCTTTGACAAAGCATTAAAAGAGATGCTAAGCTGGCTCACCTTTTCTGCTGAATAGGTCGCTATTCACAGGTTCCCCATCATTCATGAAACGATGTCATACATGAAAATATGTAATGTATATTATACCCAATTTCATACTGTTGCATCCGACTGACTGACTGACTGTTATGGTGTATCCCTGCATCACAGTTCCTCTAGCCTGATAGCTCTGAGAAAAAGAATGAGGTGGTAGGGGTTGTCATGGGATCATGTTTGGGATCGTGGTACCAAGCTTATCAGATACGTTTATTGCATCAATAACAGTATCCATTACATGATATAAAAAGATACGTGTTTCATGGAACTTAGAAACCTAAATTATCTGTAATTGTCATAGACCAACAAAATCAAATGTCATTGCGCCTTGAGGATTCACTGGCTGGCATACAGGCTGGAACATTGCTTACTGCAGTGTGAAACAACATGCTCACACTCCTCTCTGCACGACTGCCTCCATGGTCTAATGGTAGAGCGTCCGCCTGGAGAGTGGAAGGTCCGGGGTTCGATCCCCAGCCGCGTCATACCCAAAGACGTTTAAAGATGGTACTTGTTGTTACCCTGTCTGGCGCTCGGCATTAAGGGGCTAAAACAAGGACTGGTCGGCTCGGAGTCAGTATACTGTGTCTGAGTGGGGTATTCATGTTAAACTGTGGCATGGTATCACAGTGTGCTAGCACTATAAATCGGCATCAGTCCGGACTAGTACAAGCAGCCACACACACACATGCACGTCGCTATATAAGTGCAATAATCTTGGACGCGACGTTAAACCCCATTTCACCTCACCTCACCTCCTCTCTGCACATTATTTACATTCAGTATTCACTTTTGGAAATTGGTGAATTTCTTCAAATTGCAATTGCTTTCGTGTATTCAGTGGCTATGGGTTAACTAGTGGTAAACTATGTCACATTGTACTGTGAGGAGTTGCTTCCCTTCGCCATACCAGGATCTTGGTTTCAAACTGTATTCTCCCAAATTATGATCCCTTTATCAGCATATTATCTTCTGGTGGGTTCCACAGAAGTAGTGACAAACAAGCATGGTCTGCGTCACAGTAGCCTTTCCAACACATCAAGCTGATATTCTGTGATCCTGGTGACTAAGCTGTTATAAATCACTCTCTGTTGTTCTTTGGGCGGTCGTGTAGCCCAGTGTTTAATGTGTTTACTCATATCACATTGACCCACTGACCCAGGCTCAATTCCCCACATGGGTACAGTGTGAAGCCAATTTCTTATATTCCCAGCTGTGATATTGCTGGAATTTTGCGAAAGCAGTGTTACACTCTACTTACCTACTCACTCTGTTGTTTTCAGTTCAGACAATCTCTGCCGAGGCTGCACTGTACGAGACATGCTACGTGACCGCTCACAAGGGGCCATGTAGAGCCGGGGCCTTCCATCACACAGGTGAGAGAAATGTAACCATGTGGCAGCCAGTCAGACAGTGGAGCTATTGATCGAATAATCAGTTTAATGATCGATCTTCACTTACCTTCAAAATGATTATCGATTGCCAATATATGTAACCAGTAAAGACATTATGTATGAAAAGTGTGCTGTCTTGCAGTTCAAAGTCCACCCCACTATTGCACTTATCAACTGTTGCCATAAGTTATTCACATACCATATTTGCCATAATTAGCATCCTGGGTGCTTACAAAATTGATAAAGGGAGGGGGATGGGTACACATGTTAAGATTGAAATTTGTATCAAAATGGTATATCCAGACCACCAGCCTTCCTACATCTTCTCGTCATGATCAATAGAATATCAAATCTGTATTGAATTACGCAAGTAAATCATTTTGTTGCCATGGTTACACTATCTGGTAATAAAGAAAAGTTTTCGTTGTATATCTGGACTTACATGGTATATTTTATTAATCTTATTCAATATTTCATTCAGTAATCATGGTAATGTTTACATAAATTTTGGCAAAATGGTGTGTCCCGATGTTTACCCCATTCCAGAGGGTCCTCTTTACCACATACTGTGACAGCACTAACTCAAACTATGCACAGCAACCACAAACATATTGAATAACATATAACATACTGCTATTGAAGCCTTGAAACAAACCTTAGCTGACAGAGGATACATACCGTATTTGACGTAATAAGCGCCCTGCTCTAATAAGCGCCCACGGCGATATTTGCTAACATATTGGCTAGTGAACAATCCAAATTAGCACCCCTTCCGATTGATCAATGTACACAAAACTTATTTATTCGCGTATAATATGCACTCGTGTGTTATATGCACCTTTAATTATGGGCAATTAAATTCTGCAAAAATATATCCGTCGTATATAAACATTTCAGGCTGTCAGCATAAATCACGAAATTTATCCTTTAACTCTGTTTTTTTTCACCAAAATAATATTCTAATAAGAGCCCCCTATTTCTAATTTTGAGAGTGCCCTGGGCGCTTATTACGTCAAATACGGTATATCATAACTGCCTTACTTTGACTTGATAAAAGTCATATTTGCTGTAGAATGTCTATTATTTGTATTAGCAGCTGTGAGTTAAACTGTCACAATTCTGATACGGCTCATACACGCAAAATATATTTTACTTGGGCTTTGAATAGTTGGGTAAACTTACAAACATTGTAATATGTTGTTTCTCTGCATTCTCTCAGGTCAGCTGATAGCTACAGGGTCTGAAGATGCCTCCATCAAGGTGTGTATGTCTTCACCAGTTAACTAAGTTAACACTACTGCTGTACTTCTGTACTATGCCGGCACAAAGCTACACAACCAATATCCACTCAGTCACACCCCAACATAGCCGTAGCTTTCACCACTTGCAAAACAACTGGGATTGGATGCGACTGGAACCCATTTCAGTCGTGATCATCTGTCCTGATTGAGAGTTTAAAGAGATGTTAAGTTTAGAGAGGTGATTGAGAGCTGTGATTGAAAGGTGTTCAGCTTAGAGAGGTGTTCAGTTTAGAGAGGTTATAAAAGAGTTGTTCAGTTTTTAGAGGTGTTTAGTTTATGGAGGTGATTGGAAGTGTTCAGTTTTGAGAGATCTTTAGTTTATAGAGGTGATTGAGAGTGTTCAGTTTAGAGGTGGTTGAAAGGTGTTTCGTTTAGAGAGGTGTTGTAGAGGTGTTCTGTTTAGAGAGGTGATTATGAGGTGTTTTGTTTAGAGAGGTGATTGAGAGCTGTTCAGTTGAGAGATGTTTTGTTTGGAGAAATGATTGAGAGGTGTTTAGTTTTGAGTGATTGTTTGGTTTAGAGAGGTGATTTAGACATGTTTGTTTAAACAGTTGTTAATCAGTTTTCAGAAGAATGCTGGTTTTATTTGTGCTCAACTATTCCTAAATTCTCATTGCATATCATCATGAACTGATCAGGCTGATGATGTGGATCATTGCTCATGTCTTCAGGCATTTGGATGCCTGGTCCAGACTTAATAATTTACACGCATCTGTGATACAGATGAAATATTGCTGACTGCAGGGTTAAACAACATCCGTCGATTGTTGTGCAGACCATTGACCTGATTAACCACCGGTTAGTCTGCATATGCTTCATTGTAATGTTGGGCACGGGTGGCCCAGTCATCTAAGTCACCGCGATTCGCTGTGCAGAGTTGCGTCCCTTGGGCACGCCAGAAACCTATGATTGTGGGTTCGAATCCCAGTTCGCCCTGATTATGTTTCTAGGTTTGTAAGCACCATACCTGTGCTCGTGGGTTTCACCGAAGTGGTAAACGCCTGAGACCTGCATCACTTCAGGCTTTCCTTCCACATTAAGCTGACACGCTGCGATATAACTGGAATACTGTTAAAACTCACTCACTCACTCATTCATTGTAATGCACTTATCTACCCAAGTTAATGGCAGTTAACAGAATTACAAAGATCTGATGGGTCCATGTCAGGAAGAGTTTTTACAGCTGTTTGTAACACCGTCTTGTATCTTTACCAGATACACCTTGAAAATAACACCATCTTAGATAACAGTACAATTCTATTTGGGTTTCAATCCCAATATAAATTACTAACTCATATTTTACTCATTACAAGGAGACATGTCTACACATCTAGCACGAAGGTAGCACATTGGCTTTACCCCGGTATATATAATATTAAAAACATCACAGACACATACAGTATTGAAAAATGTGTTGAGAACTTTATTGCAAGGATAAACAGTACTGTGATTATGTTTGAAAAGAATGGTTACCTTTGTCAAAAGGGGTAATAAATTTATAGTTAAGCATTTGTTTGCAGTTATATTAGAAAATGCCTGAAGCCCTCATAAAATTTCAAGTGATGTTTTTTGTGATGCTGATCTGTGTTTTACTGTGTCCTAGTTATGTACCTTTGCTTTTTTGGAAAAGAAGGTATATTGGTTAACAAAACTGTGTGTAACTTGTGCCATGCATCTGTCATAGATCCTGGACGTAGAGAGAATGTTGGCCAAAAGTGCAACTCCTGCAGAAATCATTGCCATGGAAACTCCTCAACAGCAGATGGAGAATCATCCCGTCATCAGAACACTATATGATCACAGTGGAGTAAGAATTTACCCTCATGTCTAACCATTGTCGACAGGTTATTAGAACTAAAGATTCGCCTTCGTTTTGTGTTTCTGGTTTGTCAGCGCCATACCTGTGCTCAAGTGGAAAACATCCAAGATCTGCATTACTTTGTGTTTTAACGTTAAGCTGACATTTACTAAACAGGTTGAGACTAAAATGGTTGAGACTCACTGAGATCAGATTAACATGGTCCAGATTTACTTAGATCAGACTTACTGTTCAGAGCAACTATGTTCAGACGATCATGGTTCATACTATCCTGGTTTATGTGTGGGTTATCTTGGATGAAGACGACACACAATGTGTCCCCGTTGCTGACTGGTTGACTTCCTTTCCAGGAGGTGACATGCCTGGACTTCCATCCTTTCCACCAGATCCTGGCGTCAGGGAGCACCGACTTCAGCATCCGATTCTTTGAGTTCTCCAAGCCCTCGGTGAAGAAAGCTTACAAGAGTATGCAGGTAGGGTACATGGAAGACTCCAGGTAACGAGACGCAACTGTTTGTAGGGTTGAATACAATAACAATCACGCTGGAGTAAGCTGTTTTTGCTCCATGATTTCAACAAAGTCGTTTCAGTGTCATCTTGAGTATGTAATCAGATTTCATATGACTTGGTAACCAAGGGCTGAGGATGCCTCAGAGGAGAAAGAGGCATATTTTAGGTTTCTGTGATATATCATCCAAGTTCAGTAGGAAATACATAACGTGTTGTGTCAGGATAAATATACTAATGTCATGAATACTCCAGTCCATGTAGTATTAACAAAGTAGGTATTCATGTTCCTTGAAACGTTCAGATGACATCAAAGGTCTGCATCACAACATGTGTTCTCTCCTAAATTCCAGGAAGCAGCCAAAGTGCGGTGTATCAACTTCCATCCATCAGGAGACTATGTGCTTGTTGGCACCGAGCATCCCACTTGTAAGTCATGGGGCGTCCTTGGTTATAATGATGCCTCCGAGGCTCCGAATTAGAATTGGCCTTCAGCAACCCATGCTTATTCATTAAGAATTTCTCCTTTTTAAGCTTTTTGAAAAACAGAATGTGAACATTCGACAAAAATGCAGATGCAGGCACATTATGTTTTGTCACATGCAATATATGTTTGGAGGGACATAGTTACATCCCTTTAGAGTGACTACTTAATGCATTATCAACTGTTTCAGTACGGCTTTACGACGTCAATACATTCCAGTGTTTTGTGTCACACGACCCAAGCGGGCAGCATGAAGGACCAGTCACATCTGTAAGTGTCCTTAGTCAGTTTCACTCCTCCTTGAATATCTTATTCTGTGATAAATGTGGGAACAATGCGTGAAGCCCATTTCTGTTGTCCCCCGCCGTGATATTGCTGGAATATTGCTAAAAGCAGTCATTCTCTCGCACTCACTCACTGTGATAAATGATACATGTACATGCCATAGTGTTCAGTATGTCCATGTGATGGGAAAGTGAGCCTGTATTCCAGCTGTATCACAGCTGCCTGAGTCTGGGATAGGCAAACCAGGGGTTAATAATATGTGTTACGAGTTGTTTCATTTGCTGACAGCTTAAATTAAAGCATTGGTCATGTTGGTACAGCCTTGTTTCATCAGGAGGTGGTCCTGGGTTTTACAAGACAAAACGGTTTACTATGTTTACATTTCATTTTATTAAGTTTTTAGCAAAATTCAAGCATTGAGAACTGGTTCAGAATGTATAAGCCTCAATGCAACTGGTCATGGCGGACTACCATCATTTCAGGTTTACATGCCCTCAGCAGTCTCGATCAAGCGCACTAACGGGAATTTTAAAGGCTGTTGATTCATCAATTTCTACACTCAAATTTTGTTAAGCAATCCCAGCGCTATGTGTCACCTCTCTGACTCATCATTCAGGTAGGGGCGGTCGGGTAGCCTAGTGGTTAAAGCTTTAGCTCGTCACGCCGAAGACCCGGGTTCGATTCCCGACATGGGTACAATGTGTGAAGCCCATTTCTGGTGTCCCTGGCTGTGATATTGCTGGAATATTGCTAAAAGCGGCGTAAAGCCACACTCACTTCACTTCACTTCACTTATCATTCAGGTCAACTGGAGCCCCAATGCCAATCTGTTCACCACCTGCTCCAAAGATGGCAGCATCAAGGTGTGGGACGGTGTCAGTCACCGTTGCATCAACACCTTCAAGAACGCTCACGACGGACATGAAGTCTGCTCAGTCACATTCGCCAGAAATTCCAAGGTATGTAATGATTTCATAGACCATTACCGATGTCTGCCTGGGGATTCCAGGGCATAGCAGTGTTCCAGTCAATATGGAATCCCAGAACTCTTGTTGGGGAAGTAGGTGTCGGGATCGGTGCTGTGGTCTTGGGAGTCCATGCATCAGGCAGGGACATGATTGCTTTTGCCTTTCTTCTTAGCACCTTCCTTACAATTGGCTTTAGTGGAGACATCTAGCTTCTAGAAGCCATTCTTGAGAGGGGACTGCAAAACTTGCACTAGGACTCCACCATACATAAGTAATCTCGGCACTTCAAGCCGTAATTATGCCTTTCTGACACGTAGGGGAGGGGACAGATGAAAACCATAACAGTAAAAAAAACCACTGACACCAACCCCAGAAAATACTAACATAACCAGCCAGTAATAATGCATGATACTGATACTAAGTACTGATTATGGTACCAGTTAAAACAGTGTGGCCACATAACCGAGTGCAAGAGTAAGCTAAGCCTCAGGTGTTGTCTCCAGCACACACAGGAAAGAAGTGAGGTTTTCCCGCCTTTGCGCACTGAAGAGCTGAAGGCGACGTGTGCTTATACGGGAACAACTAGTTAGGTGTAGTTGATAGTGATAGTTCAGATTCAGTTATGGTGTGGTTGCAACCAAAATACAGGATCAATGCCAATGATGTAATACAGGTAGTATTATTAGAATTATTAACAATGTTTTGATGTTCGTCTCCTTAGGATTCCAGGGAAGAATATGTTGCAAGTAAATGCAGAATCGCATCCTTTTCTCCAGGGAAGAATCCCTGAGATTCCGGGGAATAAAAGTTTCCCAGTGAATGCAGTACCTCATTGATTTTATCATGGTGTACATGTCCATTCAGCTTGTCAAATCCTGTACATTGTTAAATAGTGATTGGCACATGTAACTCATAGTATGTATCTCCACAGTACATTTTGTCGAGTGGCAAGGACTCGCTGGTGAAGCTGTGGGAGTTGTCCACCAACCGCTGCCTCATCATGTACACCGGCGCCGGTGCCACGGGGAAGCAGGAGCATCGCACACAGTCTGTCTTCAACCACACCGAGGACTACGGTAGGTCCCCACATGTGTCATGTGACAGTCACTCAGTCCGTCTTCAACCACACCGAGGACTACGGTAGGTCCCCACATGTGTCATGTGACAGTCACTCAGTCCGTCTTCAACCACACCGAGGACTACGGTAGGTTCCCACATGTGTCGTGTGACAGTCACTCAGTCCTTCTTCAACCCCACCGAGGACTACGGTAGGTCCCCACATGTGTCATGTGACAGTCACTTAGCCCGTCTTCAACCATACAGAGGACTATGGTAGGTCCCCACATGTGTCATGTGACAGTCACTCAGTCCGTCTTCAACCACACCAAGGACTATGGTAGGTCCCCACATGTGTCATGTGACAGTCACTCAGTCCGTCTTCAACCATACCGAGGACTACGGTAGGTCCCCACATGTGTCATGTGACAGTCACTCAGTCCGTCTTCAACCATACCGAGGACTATGGTAGGTCCCCACATGTGTCGTGTGACAGCCACTTTGTTCGTCTTACACCACATTAAGGACTATCAGTTGGACCAGTGTAAAACTTTTGTTTCACTAACTTCGTCAGTCGTTTCTTTAAATTGAGCTTAAGTATAGCTTTTTACCAATTTTAGTCCTGATTTGTAAGTTTCTTAAACCTACATCTGACATAAGTGTTTTGTTTTACAGTGTTGTTCCCTGATGAGAAGACGACAAGTCTGTGCTGCTGGGACTCGCGCAATGCGGAACGACAGAAACTCCTTTCTCTCGGTGAGCATATCTTCTTATTCCAGACAGGATCCATGGCAGACTAGGGTCCCTTGTATTCCATGCTTGTCTCCTTGTGGGGGTCCAGGGCAGAAGAGGTCTTCAGTACCCTATGCTTGTCTCCTTGTGGGGTTCCAGTAAAGAAGAGGTCTTCAGTACCCTATGCTTGTCTCCTTGTGGGGTTCCAGGGCAGAAGAGGTCTTCAGTACCCCATGCTTGTCTCCTTGTGGTGATCCAGGGCAGAAGAGGTCCCTAGTACCCCATGTTTGTCTCCTTGTGGGGTTCCAGGGCAGAAGAGGTCCCCAGTACCCCATGCATGTCTCCTTGTGGGGTTCCAGGGCAGAAGAGGTCTTCAGTACCCCATGCTTGTTTCCTTGTGGTGATCCAGGGCAGAAGAGGTCTTCTGTACCCCATGCTTGTTTCCTTGGGGTGATCCATGCTTGCCTTGTGTGTATAAATAAGACCTGTTGTGTATCAGGGTCCTTTAACGATATGCTTCAGCTAGCCTATTACCAATATATAGCAGTGCAGTTGAGAATGATAGACTGAAAGTCAAATTATCCAAAAAAAACAGCAATATATATCATTTATTTGTTTGTTGTTTAATGCCGCACTCAGCAATATTCCAACTTTATGATGACGATCTGTAAATAATAGAATCTGGACCAGACAATCCAGTGTTTGACATCATGAGCATCGATCCACGCAATTGGGATCAATGACATGTATCAACCAAGTCAGCGAGCCTGACCATCCGATCCCGTTAGTCACCTCTTACGACAAGCATAGTCGCCTTTTACGGCAAGCATGGTCTATTCTACCCCAGATCTACAAGGGTCTGATATATATATCAAACAAGAAATGTATCAATTCCCGTTTTATAACATGTCACATATAAGTCCAGCAAAGGTGAATTGGAGGAGTGACATACTTCAAATGAATGATGTCACCGCACATGTTGCAGTGTACCTGTCTGGGTGAGGTCATAGCACTATAGGGGCGGTCTGGTAGCCTAGTGGTTAAAGCGTTCACTCGTCACGCCGAAGACCCGGGTTCGACTCCCGACATGGGTACAATGTGTGAAGCCCATATCTGGTGTCCCCGGCCGTGATATTGCTGGAATATTGCTAAAAGCGGTGTAAAACCATACTCGCTCACTCACACATAGCCATATGATTGTATTAATATCAGTTTAATCAGTTTGTGGTTAATAAAGTTCATGATAAGAATGATGATAGTGTATGTTTGTCCCTGTTCAAGGTCACAACGGTGTGGTACGCAGTATCGTCCACTCTCCGACTGGGCCGGCCTTCGTCACGTGTTCTGATGACTACAGAGCACGCTTCTGGTACCGCAAAGCTTCCACAGATTGAACTGCATCATCAACAGTCAACATCATCATGGACAACAGTGTGCTGCATCATTAGGGCTGTAATGATTAACTCCATCACAACACAGCTATGGTGGGGCACATGATGCAATACATACCCACAACACTTGTAATGTCTGCAAGCCATCAAAGAAAATGGCTAATAACTCAATCAAAACATATTTTATCGACCTGCATCAATTAAACTAGCATTGGCTTTAATAATTTTGTACCTTCCATTTAATGTCAGATAAAAAGTATTTTCATAACCTGTAACATGCACAATTTTATATCAGTTTGCATAGATTCATGGCTACATGTTGAACTTTTGATACTCATATGGTGGCACCAAGTCTCAATATGGTGGCACAAAGTATCGCGATCCTCCCAATTGCCGGTGAAAAATTCAAGACCTACTCATCATTCAACATTCATCATGGGGTCATGTTGATCGACAGCACTGGAAGTAACAGATGGAAACAGTGTCATGTCCATGGTTGTTGAGGACTTTCTTTAGAGATAATGCACCTTACAGATTCAGGCACACAATAGGTGACTTCATGTTAGTATCCAGTGCTTGTCATGTCGGACACGAAGCAGCTAATGCCCTGGGAACAGATTCACAAAATGTTTGCAGCATTTCAAACTATAGTAGCTCTATAGTTTATCATAGGCTTACAAATGTCACAGCACCATAAATGCTTAATGGAGTTGGACCCTGGATGACATGACACCATTCAGCATGTACAGTTGCTCATGCCATCAACCACTGGTTTATCAGTTCCAGAGTTGAGTATTTTCCTGCTGTAATATCGCTGACCTCAGTACGTGACTATAATTCACTTACTCATGATTAAGAGAAACCTTGTTCCTTCTTTTCACTTTGGGAAATGTTGATTTGTCATTGTTACAATTTCTTAGAAAATAATTGCAGTTAGGTTTGTAAAAATCTGTAATACAAATCTTGAATAAAAATGGTTTTTTTATGTATCAGCTGATTTCCATTGTTTTATAGGAATAGTGGTAGCTCTGATACTCATTACATGCCAAGATTCTATTTAGTATAATGTTGGTACTTGTGTTTATGGTGTTTCAAAAATTTAGATCTAGATCTATAAATAAAGGTTCAATTTGACATCTGAAGACATAATCTTGATTGTTGATGTTAGTTCAAGAATATCTGTATGTTCCATGTGTATAATAATAATGTTATGTCAGAGAGAGAACCATTTGACCAGTCTCCTGAAGCAGTCTACCTTGTGTTGAAGTATGCATGCTGGTAACAGGAATAGAAAAATGAAAAACACTTCATGGTTGTTCCTATCATGGGTCTGATATTGACCGCCCATGCATTAACCAGCTATGTCAGCGCGACAGGGATATAATACGGGGCTGGTTATCAACCGGCTCTATGTTGGCTCTCTGGCACACACAAAATGCCTAGTGTCATTGATAAAAGTATGATAAATATATTCATCTTACCTTACACGTGAATGATGGATTCTGATTGCCTGAGACCCATTCTATTATTCTCAATATACTCGCTATAGGGCTGGGACGGGTAACTCGGGTACCCGGGTCGGGTGGGTAATGAGTAGGACCCGGGTACCCACAGGACTACCCGGACCCGTGGTAAGTCACGTGATATATTGTTTGATGACAAAAATTATCTAGAACTCTATGGTTACACTACAAGTCACTAATGTTCGCATTCTTTCTGACTCTGCAACCATTCCTTCTGATTTTTAATATGGTTGAAAAGAGATATAACTAAATTCTACTTCAGTGTGTGAATGACCAGATTGTTTAGTACATGAGACATCTCCTGAGACGTACAGTGTGTGTCCCGGGTAGGATCGGGTAATAGTGGGTTGGTACCCGGGTAGTAAATTTGGACTCGTCCCAGCCCTACTCCGCTAACATTTGAGACACCTTTCTAGTGTTCCCCGCTCGAATTGCCGAAATGTTGTACTGTTGGCATTACATTTGCAACATACCAACCGCCATTTTGTATCTCCAATTATTGATGATCTTGCTTGCATAAGAAATATCTGCACTATGATTAGGTGTGCAGTATGATAAATTTGTTTTGTACCAAGATAAAAACTTGAACATGAACAGAAACAACTCCATTCATTTTGTGAAATGAACATTAATTCGAGTTTGGCTAATCATGTTGGTGCAGCTTTACAATCAACATTTTATGTACCCGAAGGCATCGCTGACACCATTTTGCTAAGTCAGCTGTTTGTAAAATGGATAAGTGAGACCTTATTGTAAAGTTGATTTACACCGTTCAAAGCGGCGTTAGACCCAGCCCACTCACCCAATGACACCAGAACCCCAGGTGCGAACCCGATTTCAACATGGTTGTACGTCTACACATCAAAGACAGACAGTGCGTTGTCATGACAACAATGGGATATCAAAGTCGTCCTGGACACGAATCATGTACCTGCTGTTGTTTTTATTCAGACCCTTTGGAGTTTGTCCACAATGTCAACATCAAAACAATAAAAACAGTCTATAATGAAACTAAATTTATTGTTATCACAGTTACATGAAGTATTTACAATGACCAATATAGATTCCATTAAGATGAAGTTTTCATGTATCAAAGGTAAAAACAAAATGGCAAAATTATTGTGAGCTGAAACTTTCTGTTGAAAAAATAAAAGGGGAGAAACAACACCCACATTATGAATTGACACACAAGAAACTGTTATGACGTGTCAAGAAATCCAATGACTCCGAATTTGGCGATATACTGACAGCAAGAAAAGAGAGAACAGCTACAAAGGGAAGCGTGCTTGTTATTGACTTTGGCATGTACTTGACATGCCAGAGACAACACAAGAGGTCTTCCAATTGTATTTGTTCATAGGATGTATCGTGCTTCCCCAGACTATTGACGGCCATGAATTTATATGCTACCTTGAAAAGGTCACGCAAAGGGATAATGTGCCTTAAAAAAGCTAAGAATGATTTAACTTATCTCCAACTACACTAAATTACCCCAAAGTGTATAAATATGTTCACACTTCGTGAAATAATTGTAAAAACCTCAAAGAAACGAACTTGTATATAATCTATGTGTTACCAGTGACCATAGAATTAATTATACACCTTAACATGATCGGCTGCTTCAAATTGAAAGACAGGACCTGAAGCATACTATTTTCATATGCAGTGGTGTTGTTTGTTACATCAAGTGAAATGCCTTCTTGTTCTGAACTGTAAATGAAATTTTGTACAAAGCCTGTGTTCACACCGAACACATCAGTTGTCATAATCGCAATATTTATATGCTCTCTTATTTCTTTCTATCAGTATATTTAAATCAAGGTGCATTTTGTTTCCCACTTGTTGTTTGAGCAAGAATGAATGAATGTTTTGAACACTTATGAAAGAAAGTCACAGATTTAAACACTATTTCAGTTACCTCACGACGGGTACACGAATTGGAAGGGGAACTCCCACAACTCCTCAGGGTCATGAGTGGGATTCAAACCCACGACCTGCATGACCAAGGAACGCAACTTTGTACATATATCCAAAGACAATTAGGTCATTCTGACATGTGATCTTGTGTGAAAAGCAGTGAAAACTCCGCTTGAGTGAAGGTAAATGAGAGAAAAACCCTTTCTTTCAGGTGTGATGCTGACAAACCCAATAATCTTGACCGAGGCGAATCTGATATTTGAAAACGATACGCGGATCCTGGCATGGTTGATGAGGTGCGATGGTAGCGATGCGACTGTCGTGACTCTAATAACAGCGTTAGAAATTGGCACGATTCCTGTAGTCATTGCCAAACTGCCCAATGTTTAAGGTATCACGAGGACTAGTAGAAACTTGCCCTTTATATGGCTTTTGCTACGTGTTATCATTATGAGGACTAGTGGACGAAAAATGTTAGTTTCTACCCCTGAATAATGCGGCATACTTGTTATCCCACCCCAACCCCCATTCTCTTGAGACAGACAACAAAGGCAGTAGTTCACACTACTGGCACAAATTATGCTTCCAACGAGGTCAGATACGTTTGTCAACAGTACTGAGACATCAAAGAGAAATGAAAAGTGTTTCATGCCAAAATATAATTCAAGCCCCCTTCATCTGAAGACAACACTGCATGATGGATTTTTTTTATTTAGATATTTTCAAAAATATCGACGTAATACACATTGAAAGTAGAACGGTACCCTCCTGTGTTCACATACGTTGGTCGGCCCTCCCACCTGCTCTCTGATAAATAACGTGTGCGTTTTCTTCGCTGGTTTGTTTCACTTTACAAAGTTCCTAATTTCCCCCTTCATATTATACCATTCATCCACTAACGAAAAACAAAAAAAACAAAATCTAATAAAATCGCAACAGTGAAACCTTATTAAAGGAAGCCATCGAACTATATTCAAAGACTGGAGGACCTGAAGTAACTCGTGACCTACATATGTCACAATACCTAACCTTTCTGAACACGAAGACAGTGTTAGCCTCGTTATGAGAATAAGCCAAACCTTCAATAGACGCTCGATGATTACCTTTTACTTGAACTCCGATATAGCGTTTATGATGATGTTATTGTTTGGACCCAAAAACCTAGATAAAAAAAATGTTGTTGTGTTTAGGAGAGGTGGTCAACTCGCGAAGTCCGAAAACTGGTTTTACAAAAACATCCAAGTTAGTCTTGCAGATGAATCTTGGACGCGACGTTAAACCCAATTTCACCTCACCTCACCTCTTGCAGATGAATATAAATACCTGTGTATTTTATTTACTAAGACTTTGAATTTAGGAAAAACTGTCCACAATTTAGCTGTAAGGGCCAAGAAAGCAATGGTCATGATACTTACCACTGTATCTAAATTAGAACCTGTTCCACCTAGAGTGTATTTTAAGCTATTATACGGCTCAGAACTTTGGGGTTTTAAAAATTATGAACCAATAGAGAAAATACATTTGTATGCATGTAAAAAGTTTTTGAAGACAGGAATAAACACTCTAAACTGTATGGTTTATGGCGAATGTGGAAGATATCCGATGTACATTAATGCAAATATTCGTTGTTGAAAATACTGGTTTAAAATTTGAGAAATACACGAAGACCGCCTGCCTAGAAAAGCATACAAAATGCTACTTAATCTGGACAATCATGGGTACACAATATGGGCATCAAATATTCGATATATGCTATTTTATCACGGTTTCGGTTATGTGCAGTTGTATCAAGGTGTCGGTAATAAACATGATTTTTTAAAGATTATTTCATCGAAAGTCACTAGAAATGTTTCAGCAGGATTGGAGATCGACACTTGGCCACAGTTCAAGATATGTCATGTATAGAAATTTTAAATCGTTGATTGAACCTGAATTGTATTTAAATGTTATAACATGCAAATCTCTGCGCATAACATGGATTGTCTGAAATAATGATTAACATTGGACGACATCGTTCTATACCGAAGCCAATGAGATTGTGTCCTTTCTGCCAAACTTGTATAGAGGATAAAACTTTGAAAGTTTCAGTTATATCACGGCGCGTCAGCCTATATATGATGCTGAGGAACCAAGGATCGTAATCAGGGCTAAACTGAAATCAGAACTCGAGATCATCATATTCTGGCACGACAAAGGGACGCAAATATGCGAAGCAACTTTCAGAGATCTGAGTAGGAAGTAACATGGTAGAACATGAGTTCAGGAACATGTAACCAAAAATAACAACATGTACTATGTGTACTGGGAAACCCAGATAATTTGGATGATACCGTTCCCAGATGAATTGTGCAGAATAACGTTTCCGGGGTAACCAAGCAAAGGTATAGGAGTAATGTTGTTCTGAATCTACAAAGAGATGTTCTGAAAGAGATCGCTCAGATGCAGGTTTCCAGGTTAACGTGTTTCACTGAACTTTGAGAAAATGGAAACATAATTTCTTTAAAACTTATATAAATGTATTTTCCCTGACATTATTAATACAGTATGTACAAAGTGGTATAATCTATTTTCCTTTAACAAACAAATAACAATGACACATAAGGATGAATTCCCCCACCTTTCTACAAACTATGCATCTTGTAATTGTTTATATTGATACATTTGGAATTCAGGATTGTCCCTCTCGAAAATGAGTCATTTCAAAGAAGCAGGGCCAGGTTCACAAAGCGATCGAGGTGAAACGACCGAGTCTATGTTAAAGTATAGGAGTTACAATAGTCGTAGCCCTAAGACCGCTTTGTGAAACGGAGCAAAGTCCAGGCAAAACATGGGGAGTAAATGGGTTATTCATACAGCTGAACAACAAAAGGAGATACAACTGTCTCCTGTCTGTACAGGAACTTGTCTAAACAGGACTTTGGTGGGACCTAACGTTCAGTCCGGTTCAGACAGAGGTCCGGCTTTGTGAGATTATAGCAGTTAAGCCCCAAACTGCCAAGATACGACAATTCACATGTTACGATGTTTACACGACAGAAGTATTTTAATCAACCCCAGGGATACTGATATTGAAATTAATAGTATAATGGGAAATAAACATGAAACAGAACTCGTTTATGTTTCAGTGGGGGTTATATAACAAGAATACAGACGTTAATTGCTCAGCGTGATATGGATTAATGGTATATGGGAATACAGCTGTTTAGCAGGATGCGGGCATCAAAAGTACACGGGACAACACATTTCAGCTATAACATAGGCATGTACACAGAAAGGGAATACATTTGTTGTCTGTTTAGGGACACTGTTTACATGGGGGTTGGGATGGGTTGTTTCTGGTGAGTTTCTGGAAACAATAGCCCAGCTTTAATGTTTATTGCTCCTCTTTAGGAGAAAACAAACTCATTTAGTAGATTTTCTTAATGAACCACGGAAACCAAATATATTTTCATCACTCGTGAATGTGTCGGAAAAGAATTAATATTCATAAATGTGTGCACTTGAAATAATGAAATGAATAATGTCCTGGGCCCACTTTCACAAAGCGATCTTAGCTCTACGACTGTCACAAGTCAATGTTACAGTATGGGAGTGACGATCATCGTAGCGCTAAGGTTGCTTTGTGCAAATGAATTTTGGGGTTGGCTGAGAGAACATGTCAGTTTTAGCATTGATACTATTCAAATGTGGAGGTCACTGTTTTGCATGTATACTTCAAATTGATATCTTGTAAAGTCAGCTTCTGCACATAGTTCTACATAGTGTGAGAACCTGAACAAATGCTGTTCCTGAATATGAAATATTTTGTTCCACCGATCATGTTAGATGATTTTGCAAGCAAAACAAACAGTATTTTATCAAAACGACAGCTTGCATACTGAATGTGGAGGAAAATATCCAAACATGAATTTGTCATCGACAATGGACTCAATAGGGACCGGTCATTTCTTACAGGGGTCAAGGTGTTTGATGCACTAATAACCAGAAAATAATTAACCTCCCCTAATGCTTGACCCTACCCAGGTCCTTGCTTATTTTTTTCATCTCCCCGAAAAGACAAAATGCAGTGAGTAATCACCCCCACCCCACCCCCCAGAGACTGTTATAATCTTATTCTCCCTGACCTCCGTTTATAATAAATGAACGGTCCCCTCTGTTTCAGTATAATACAAATAAGGATGACTATGACCGTCATGTTGACGTGGAAGATTATAAAAAAACATAAACTTCCATAACATAATCATATTCACTCAATAAGGGCCCGTGTCAATAATATGACTTCGTAAAAGAACAAAATACGTCTCCTCATAAAATATGGAAAACATTTGTTTCTTTTTTACGGTAAGAACAGCTTCAAGACCCAGTTGCAGTAGTCAAAACAAGCACATCGTCAATACTTGACAAGTTTCAATGTACTACCTTCCTCTACCACCTTGAATACACTGTTTAAATGTGCACTGTCGTTATTGTTAACCAACGAATCAAGGCACGACCTGGATCTAGCGAGAGGGAAACAAGGTAGTGGTCAGACCAATGAGCGCTCAGTTTACATCGCACAAACGGCAATACGTCTCGCACACATATGCCATAGCCTTGCGGCTATCCCATCTACACGTTGACTGGTTCCCGTTCGTTCCTGCGACAGACTGGGAGTAAGAGCAGCGACACTAAGCGCAATCACATTAAAATCAGATCTTAGTTCTCGCTACCGCTAAACAAAGATCTGAGGACATCCCACCACGGGTCACGTCAGAACGACCTTGCGCGAACTTTGACCGACCAATGAAATGACCAATCAGAAGGCAGCTTTCTCGTGCTTTACGGCACTAATTTCAAATTGGCGACTACGCTTCGAAACATATTTTGACAAATACTCGATTACAAATTTGAAACCTGAACAAAAGAACATTCTGGAATGGCTAATAGATGGTCTAGATTGTATGGATTCAGTCGTTAAACTATTGTTCGGAATACCCCGTGTTAAAGTTTTCGAGGTTGGGTCATTAGAAATCACATTCAGACTGTCACTTTCATAATCTGGTAAGCGACGCTCTGATTGGTCGGATAAAAGGTCGTATTGACGTGACCCCTAATGGTATGTCCTCAGATCTTTGTTTAGCGGTAGCGAGAACTGAGGTCTGATTTTAATGAGATTGCACCAAGCGGAGGATCCGGGAACCAGTCTACTCTACACGTTGTTCATGTTGTAGGATTCGCGCATGCGTGGTGTAGGGCTCATTTGACTGCCTTGAGTTATGCACGGCCTCGTTTCATTTCCTGACTTAAAATAGACGCGCGTCAGGAACGAAGTGTATACAAGACCTGTGAAGTATTGACGATGATACTACATTATAAATACCGACTTGATCAACTGAAAACTATCTTTCATTAAGACAAAGTGTAAAAGATTCAATGATAATTACATATTTGTACAGGACTAAAACAATATAATATACATAGTATACATTAATACATAGAACATTTCATTTCCTTAATGTTCATTTTCACTTTTCGTTAGGTATGGTTTCATCGGCCTACTGATCCAGCTTATAAAATCATTTACTGTAGCCTTTTAGTGTATCGAATATCACCTGATTTCCAGTACCCTAAACATACGTGATCGTCTTAAAGCAATTGATTTCAGATATGTTTTTAAGTACCATGCATTAGAACATTATTTATGAAGGTACGTAATTTTCCATTTTCCATACGAGGTAACAATTACACTTGTCTCCACCAACTGCACGAGGTAACCATTGACACCTGTCACCACCTGCACGAGGTAACAAATGACACCTGTCACCAACACCCACGAGGTAACCAATGACACCTGTCACCAACACCCACGAGGTAACAACGACACCTGTCACCACCTGCACGAGGTAGCCAATGACACCTGTCACCAACACCCACAAGTTAACAATGACACCTGTCACCACCTGCACGAGGTAACCAATGACACCAGTCACCAACAACCACGAGGTAACCAATGACACCTGTCACCACCTGCACGAGGTAACCAATGACACCTGTCACCAACACCCACGAGGTAACCAATGACACCTGTCACCACCTCCACTAGGTAACCGTGTTGTCCCTGCACGTGGTGGAAGTAGTCCTTAGCCAGCCACTCTACCAGACATAGCACTTCTTCTCGGGGTTCATATACGACGTACGGGGACAGTTGAATGCATCGCTGAAGTACTGTGAGTTCTGCATAGTGCCTATAACTCTACAATAAGAAAGAATAAGAAGTTAATCTTCATAAGTGAATACACGTTCAAACATACCACACGCACGCACGCACGCACGCATGCATGCATGCAAACGTACACACACAAGTTACACATATGGATAGGTAATTAATAGACATGATAGATCTTACCTGAATCTACCTGGACTGTGAACGCCCGTAAGGATCCGACTGATTGCGTTCTCTCGCCTCATGTTGGAACACCAGATCTGCAGAAAGAACACAGCACCTTGTAAGCAAATTATACCTCATGCACGACAACACCAAGGTGAATGTAATCGGGGCCAGGTAATCGAATGATTGGTGTGTTTGGGGAGAGTGAGGAAATCAGTGAGTGTAGAAGGGAGAGGATCCCGAGTCTTCTGGAAGGCGCTAACAATTAAACCGATCCAGCAGCCCCGGAACCGATTTATGTGTCCTGCAAAATGAGAAGTTTATTCGCTTACAAAAAATAATAATAAGGTATTTATATTGCGTAATTTCCACAGCACTCGGGGGCATGCTCAAAGCGCTATTATTACCCTGGTTACAAGATCAGTGTGCACTCAAGAATCATTCTCAGGTCCCTGGAGAGTATTCAACCCAAGCTGCCTGTGAGGCGCTAGAAGGTATTGCCATCTCATCCTACCGGGTACCCACTCACTGCTGGGTGAACAGAGGCACATTTCGAACAAAGTCACTTTCCCAAGGAGAAGCCACATGTGTTACATGTGCTTAAGTGTGGGGTAGGACTGAAGCACCCAGGAGTCAAGCTGCCGAAACCCAGTCACCCATCCAAGGACTCTCTGCAACCGATGTTGCTTAACTTCACCTGATTTGTGACCTGTGCGCTCTGCACAGGACCACGTGCCACCACATGTGAGACTCACCTGTGCGAAGCTGATAAAGAACAGCTGATTGTTGTTGTACTTGAGACCCGGAAGTAATTGCTCCTCCTTGCCCTGCTCCTCTACCCACTTCCGGTACGCCTAAAGCAAAGGGCAACACTGTTTTGTAGCATAGAAATAACAGCAGGAACAGTGATTTGACAATTTGAGTAAAGGAGTGTGGAACATTAGATCTACTTATTCTGTACGCAGCTTGGAATCAATGTAATTGAGACATCAGACCATCTGTTTATTATGATCTATACTGAACAAAAAAAGCTTGGATTCATGACTATGTTTGGGGATATCTCTTTGTCGTGAAAACCGAGCACAATATTTCATGAAAATATCCCACAAGTAGTCATGATCACTAACTTCGTTTGTTCAGTGTGTGTGTCAATAGTTGCAGTTTGCTGGCTCAACCGGTCAAGGAAAACAGTGAAGAGGTAAAATAACACGAATTCCTTGAATGCCATCTTCACAGCTGTATAATGTATGCATATATACACAACACCAAAAGAAACGCGAACATTAGAAATTATGGGTAGTTCACAAGTTAAGAAGAGATGTGTCCAATGTGTATCCATTAATGACAAAACTAAAATCAGTCAAGCGTTACCACAGTGTGTCTTTATTCTTTTCAGGATATGCTGCAAGTGATTTCCAAACTTTACACCTAATCCGGCAAGTTGCAAATGGTGCATCTCGAGCAAGGTATCCAAGACGTCACATGTGATGCGTTCATGAACTTCGGTTCACACAACATACCAGTAGGTTGGTTCGTGCATTGAATTCATCTAATATCCCTTGATTGTATGATATTCGCGTTAGTCTCGTCGGTGAGTGTGTACATAGATGCACATAAGGCACTGTCATAATACTCACCCTATAACTTTGCTTAACTCCGCCATTATCGGCAATGTTTTCACCCTGAGTATTAATTCCGTTAATCTGAAACGTTCAAGGGAAGTTAATTATATTTACACGTTTGTATGATCTGTGAGCAAAAGCAATCACAAACTAGAATACGAGTACACCTGGCAAGGAGAGAGACCTGCCGGAGAAGTCATTTCAGGGACATGGTCATTGCAAGGAAATGCCAATTCAGACACCTGGAAATCTATCTCAAGGCTACGTCTTCGGTAAGCCAATGCTACACTGTACCCAAGTACAGGTGAAGATAACTTTGTTTCCCGATCTCCAAGACTGAGTTCCCATACTTCCTCAGGTTTACGACAGGCGTAGCTCTACGATGGCTGTGTTTTAAGGAGTCCAGGGACCCGTTCTACAAAGCGATCTCAGAGCTGCGACTTTCGTAGCTCCAATTCTTTCATAGACTTACGATCGTTTCAGAGCTAAGATCGCTTTGTGGAACTGGTCCCTCCCTGGTCCTGGATTAACAAAACATTCTTTTCGCAAAGACGATCTCAACTCCCATACATATATTTTAAACAGTCGTAGCGCTTATATTGTTGTGAAACAGAGTCCTGAACTCGGATGCACAGGGCGTTCTCGGCGCTACAACTGTGGTAGTGAGTAAGTTGCGTTTAACGTTGCTTTGAAAATATAGCTGTTATATATAGCGACATGGTCGGTAGGAGGAAAGCTTGAAGTGATGTAGGTCTTAAGCCCCATTCACATGGACAAAAGTAAACATCATTTCATAAATAAATTGTGGACTTTTATCATTTGAGGCCATGTCGCTGTCGAAGATAGTCAACCTGAGGCGAAAGAGAGACTTTCCATTCTTTCTTAGTATGGGATTAGTCTTAGGATTATGCCAGGAAAGAGAACTGTGGAAGAGAGAACGTTCTCAACACTGGTGGAACAATGTCGTCAAACGATCATTTGATGATAAACTGTGGATCGATAACTTTCGCATGACACGCGAAACATTTTTTGTTCTTTGCAAGGAACTACAGCCGTATTTTCCTGCACAGGAAATGTATGTGAGGGAACGATTGGAGCTGGATCACACGGTGGCCATAACAATTTACTGGCTTGCCTCCTCTGCGGAGTTAAGTTTCATTCGGAATTCTTTACTGATTATCAGTATCTTGGATTTAATATGCTTACGTAAGCAAATAGAGAATCTGTTCACATGACCAGAAATACTCCAGGAACATTTATACTTAAGAGTAAATATACTTTTACTAGACCTCATCAGGTGTAGCAAATATGCCACCATAAGTAAATTTACTTATGTAAGTATATATACTCACGTAAGTAAAAGTGTCAATGTGAATGGGGCTTAGACGTTTACTAAGTTGGACCAACAATCATAATCAGGAACCCGTGGTGTAACTATGATAAGCTCACTTTATGTTAAAGAGTTACGGTCATCTCAGCGCTACGTTCACTTTGTACCACTGTTCAATATCATCTTTATGAAGATCCGGGGTAGAATAGGTCTTTAGCAACCCATGCTTGCCGTAAAAGGCGACTATGCTTGCCGTAAGAGGCGACTAACGGGATCGGGAGGTCAGACTCGCTGACAAGGTTGATGCATGTCATCGATCCCAATTGCGTGGATCGATGCTCATGTTGTCAACACTGGATTGTCTAGTCCAGACTCGATCTTTTTACAGACCGCCATCATATAGCTGGAATATTGCTGAGTGCGGCGTTAAACAAACAAACAAAACGAAACATTTTGTGCGTTATTTTACAATCACGTCAGTTACCTTCATGTCCGCCTCGGGCACAGTATACTGGGAGTATTGGTCGATGATGCAGTCGGCCTTGACCTTGAACTTGTCGATGGCGTCGTCGCTCCACCATTGGACAAGGTTACCATTCTTGTCGTACTGTCGCCCTGTTGGTGGAAACGTAGGTCAGCAAACATTTTCAAAAGCTACCCCGTCTGTTTAACTACTGTCTGAATGATACCTGTTTCACTAAATTAACGGCAAAAGAAAGAATACACCTGGATTTTACCCAGAAATTACAAACGTTATCAAAACGTTACTGGGCTGAAAACAGTAGCATCAACACTGCAAACGTAAGATCCAAATCACAACTATGATACCCGTATCAAATGTCATACAATAACCATGTCTTGTTTGTTTCATTTTTAGCCACCATAAAAAACATGGGGGTATACTTTCTTTTGGCCGACAGTGCGTGAATTATATGACATACACGGCGCGTTAGATTAATCTAACACTGAAAATCGGAAGTGAACATTTGTTTTGTAAAATCTGTTCGAGAAAGGAGCCCGGGCAATGTCTTCATCTTCACGAATCTAGACTTACCAAAGCATAGTAGACGTTTGTCTGATATATTCAGGATAAAACTTCATTTGAGTAGAATATTGAAGTGTAATATATTTTTTTGGAGTAAAGAAAATCAAATCAAATCATACTAGGCTATTACTACAGAAAGGGCGTCACAGAACGTTTTCATCAGGAACCATGGTTTACACTGTAGGGGAACCGGCCATCAGAATCAGATACAATCCAAAGAAATATTCGCTTTTATCCAGAATATATTTAAAAGTGAACATGGCGTGTTGTGTTTAAAACGATAATGGTATCACCTCTATCGTCATAAAACGATAATGGTCTCACCTCTATCGTCGAAGCCGTGGGTTATCTCATGGCCAATCACCACACCGATACTGCCATAGTTCAGGGACCTTAATGAATGGGAAATTACGCAAACATAAAACCAACAGCAGGAAGAAAAAAACAGCCTTATCATATTTAAAATCATGTCCAATACAATCTACAAGACTATCGAGTACTACTGATTGATTTGATTTCCATGATGTAATTATCATTTACAATGAACTTTCGACAACTGGGATTCGAACCCGCAATTAGTGGAACCTGGATCGGTTAGGGGACACAACTCTATACAGAGAATTACGTTGATCACTAGCCTACATATTACACATGGACACAGTATGCCTATATTCTCATTCACAAAATACCTTTCATACATAGTCATCCTCGATTACCTGATTATATCCAGAGACCTCATTAAAACTGGATAGTCTAGAAACCAACTTTTCGGACAATATTGTTTACACACAACGTATAGCCAATGACATATCTCCAAACCAGAGATTCGTTAATCTGGAAATTGGATAATCCGGACGATTGCACTGTAAATAGTTGTGTCCAGATTCACCAGGTTTCACTGTTTACAGCTCTATTTATCTGAGATGAAACGTTTGACTCTAGAGTGTTTCTTGGGCTTCGGTCCTGCCCCACACTGAAACACGTGACGTGACGTCTCCTGAGGCAAGAGATATTTTTCGAAATATGCCCCTTTCACCACATCTTCCCGAGGCAAGGGCGTTAACTGACTATACAAATTCAGTTTCAACTGAAACTGGACTTTTATAATCAGTTAACTCCCTTGCCTCCGGAAGATGGATTCCCCCCTCAGTGGGTACCTGGAAAGTAGGATGAGATTGTAATGTGAATGTTAACTGTCTAGTGCTTCATGAGACAGCTTGGGCTGTATACTCTCCTGGGAGCTGAGAATGGAGCCCACACTGTTCCACTGACCTGGGTTATAAAAAACTACCGTAAGTGGTAGTGTTAGTAGTATTTGTCGAAGACATAATGCGTCACTTACTTGTGGTAGGTCTTGCTGTAGAATGGTGGTTGTAAAATCCCTGCTGGAAACACTGAAACAGCCGCCACAGTATTGCAATCAATGAGTGAGTTGTGTGTAGCCCAGATTTTATTTGTTTGTTTGTTTGTTTGTTGTTTAACGCCGCACTCAGCAATATTCCAGCTATATGACGGCGGTCTGTAAATAATCGAGTCTCGACCGGACAATCCAATGATTGACATCATGAGCATCGATCCACGCAATTGGGATCGATGACATTTATCAACCAAGTCAGCGAGCCTGACCACCCGATCCCGTTAGTCGCCTTTTACGACAAGCATAGTCGCCTTTTACGGCAAGTATGGGTTGCTGAAGACCTATTCTATCCCGGGATCTTCACGGGTTCTCAGATTTTAACAGTATCGAAGTCATACCACTTCCAATCAGTTTCATAAGGAGGAGGGGGCACGGGTGGCCCAGTCGTCTAAGGCGCCGCGATTCGCTGTGCAGAGTTGCGTCCCTTGGGCACGCCAGAAACCTATGATTGTGGGTTCGAATCCCAGTTCGCCCCAATTATGTTTCTAGGTTTGTCAGCACCATACCCGTGCTCATGGGTTTCACCGAAGTGGTAAACGTCTGAGACCTGCATCACTTCGGGCTTTCCTCCCACATTAAGCTGACACGCCGCGATATAACTGGAATACTGTTAAAAGCGGCGTTAAACCCAACTCACTCACTCATGAGGAGAGCGCCCGCAGTGATGCAAGTGTTTGATGTTTACGTCTTTGATGGGGGTAAGTCCGACAAACTAAGATCATCTTGAGGAATCTCAAATTCCAACGATCATAGAATTCTGGACTCAGACTAAAAGGGAAAGTCTAACGAAATATTTATACGATAAAACTCGTCCTCAAAACTTGACACTGCTGACAGTGATGAGGTTTTCAGGTACCTTTACATAAATGACAATGATAAGAAATTCAGAGAAATACGATCTGAACTCTTCCTGGCCGAATCTCATACTTTTACTAGCGCTTCAAGACATTGAGGCGATTCACTTACTGATCTGGTTTGTGAGCGAGTTGTAGAATGCGTTGACCGTTGACGGCGCTGTGGACCACCTGCAACAACATCAACAACGACGTTAATCACCGACACATGTTGTATACGTCACAACTACATCGCAATACATATGGGTCCAAATACTTCCAGGACTTTACTGTTTAAACAAGCGACACTCCAACATGTCTGTGGGTGGCTGCACATACACATTGTGCTTTGCGATTCCGGTTGAAAGAAAAGGTCCCCAGCAACCCATACTTGCTGTAAGAGGCGACTAACGGGATCGGGTGGTCAGGCTCGCTGACTTGGTTGATGCATGTCAGCGTATCCCAATTGTGTGGATCGATGCTCACGTTGACGCTCCCTGGATTGTCTGGTCCAGACTCGATTACTTCACAAACAAACAAACACACAAACACATACACATTTCTGTCCACCCGTTGCCGGAGTGTCTTCAGATTATTGATCGTTGACCTCTGGATGTTCTGCAGAACGTTCTCAAAATACTTCATGGAATCGTAGGTATTCTGAAACACGGGGGGTTGAAATTCACTGGACTCGCATACTGGATCGATCATTTGATGGGTTTGAGTTGGGGGTAAGTGAGTTGATCATCTGTTTCCGATAATTCTCGAACAAATAGGTGTTACCTCCTCCAACCACACCAAAAATATATAAAAAACAACAAACTATTCACTGAACATGGGTGAAAAACAGTATTGTGTGTACAAAAATATTTCTTTGGCTCTTTTCAGAGAAAACGATTTGTATGTTTCGAAGCACTGACTAAGAACATCGTCTAACTCAAACAAAAATTACATTTTGTCTGTTGTATCACCAAAACACTCGCCTAACTTTCGGTTATCAGTACATACGTATGTTTCTGATGCAGGTGTGTCACCATCAAATTGAGTTGGAGGTTCCAAGTTTAGACAAATTCTGGGCTTGTGGTTACTCGCAAATACTTACATTTTCATAGAGTGTATTGAGAAGTGTGTTGTTCAATATATCATTTGGGTAGCCAATCTTCGGATTAATTGCATCAGCCTGAAATATAAGAAAACGTTGTGTCATCATAAACATTTCAGTACCAATTCTATGAAAACTGTTTCTATCGTCCTTTTTTTACCCCCCCCCCCCCCCCCCCCCCCCCCAACAAAAACAAAAAACCAACAAAAATAACAACAACAAAACAAAAACAAACAACAACAAAAACAAAACAAAAAAAACCTTTTGCAATTACATCATGGGTTACGAAACCACGAAGAGTAACAGCAAAGGGACGTAACTCTTCACGTCGAATGCCGGGACCTTATATCAGGGAGTAAAGCACTATATTATCAAGTGTATCATAATTATGTCCATTCTGTCATTATCAGTACCCTGGATCCACTCGCCCCAAAAGCTTCTTTTGAATCTCTAAATCTCTTAACAATAACAGAATTTGATTGGCGGCCAGCTATTTTCAGCTTGGTGTAATTCGCATCGGGCTCAATACGGAGCGAATGGGTCCAGGGTATTTATCATTATAGAATGGAAAGATATCTATGATACACTGGACAATCGAGGGTGGCCCATATCAGAGCCCGGGTCCTTACTCCTTCCGTTTTGAGATACCGGTAGTGACGAAAAGAGGCGGCACAGATTAGTGTCGTATTAATGTTATTTGAAACCATTAGCTGTAGCTGACGCCGTCCAAATTAGAAACTTGGCCCTTATTGGCAGTCCCAGTGAGCTTGTTACACATCTCTGAACATGGCCTTTTTTCACTTCTTCCTCAAATGTAATTATGTGTATCAGTTAAGTGAGTAAGTGAGTTGGTTTAACGGCGCGTCAACTTAATGTAGGAGCAAAGCCCGAGATGATGCAGGTGTCAGACGTTTACCACTTTGGTGAAACCCTGGAGCATGGTGCTGAAAAACCTTAAACCAAATCAGGACGACCCGGGATTCGAACCCACAATCATAGGTTTCTGACGTGCCCAAGGGACGCAACTCTGCACAGCGAATTGCGGCGCCTTATACGACTGGGCAAACCGTGCCCCCGTATCAGTCAAGTAGTTAACAACAAGTGAGAATGTCTGAGTTTTACAGAGGGTAGTTCTGCAATGTTTAGACCTTGCCGGGAAATGGACACCACAGTGTGGAGCCTTGTCCGCCTTTAAGAGAAAGCTGACTCGTAATAAAGACCAGCTGTTAAAGTGACAGCCATGAGCTGCTATTTCACAAGTGGAGAATTTGTGTTACAAAAACACAGGGCACTAAACAATGTTTACTCAATAAATTGCTTGTTTTGCAAGATACAATTTAATCAAGATGCTCCTGTCGCATTTCAGAAAGAGAATTCGATTGTGACGCAATTAGGTCACGTGTAACTTTAGGTTTTCCAGCCTTTTTGTACGACTCGGCCACTATCATTACTGGAGGAAATACGGTATTATCCTAAAAAATATGAGAGAAGTCGCTTCTCAAGCAAGCAATTTGTTCTACTCTGACCTTGTCTCTGGCGACGGCCTTGGTTGCTTCGTCCATCCAGTCGAGTTCGCCAAGTAATGCCTTGAAGGACGCTCGGAGGTTGGCAATCATCTCGTCCGCCTGAAGACGGTTATTCGGAATAATTGTATAAATACTGAGTCAGGAAGTTTTTATTCAATAATTTCTCGTTGGCGGAATACATCGGAATAACATTGTCTTTTCATCCTCCTACACTGCAGTTTAAACGGGTTTAGACACTGATTGTTATTATCAAGAAATCATGGTGGAGTTGACAGATATCCGAAGTTTAGATATTTTTATAAAGATTGTTTGCATGTGCAATGGCGATCACTCACGTTCGTTTTAGAGGCTTCATCGAACGTGGCGTCGACGAACATCCTGCCTACAGCCAGGCCAACGTTATTGACAACATAAGATGCACAGGTGCGGAACCTGGCTCTCGACGTCGACGTTCCGTAGATCACCTGTGAAAAAAGACACCGTTACGGTGGTGAGAGTCTTGTACAGTAGCCTCGCTTTCCCTTAAAACCATAAACACGTTTCCGGGTACTCGGATAACCAGGCTCCATACCCCACATTTCTGGTGTCTCCCCCCATTGGTGGTGAGGTGAAATTGGGTTTAACGTCGCGTCCAAGATTATTGCACTTATATAGCGACGTGCATGCACGTGTGTGTGGCTGCTTGTACTAATCCGGACTGATGCCGATTTATAGTGCTAGCTCACTGAGATACCATGCCGCAATTTAACATGAATACCCCACTCAGACACAGTATACGGACTCTGAGCTGACCAGTCCTTGTTTTAGCCCCTTAATGTCGAGCGCCAGACAGGGTAACAACAAGTACCATCTTTTAACGTCTTTTGGTATGACGCGGCTGGGGATCGAACCCCGGACCTTCCGCTCTCCGGGCGGACGCTCTACCACAAGACCACGGAGGCGGCACTCTCCCGCCATGGTTTTGCTGCAATATTGCTAAAAGCGTCATAAAACCATACTCACTCACTCACTTCAATTGAGAAAGACCATAATTATTATTATCATTTTGATAATATGATCCTAAAGATAACGCTGCAAACTGATTCCGCACCAGCAGAGCAACGACCAGTGCTGGGCCTAGGAAGCAAATAGTGGATGCTGTTCATGAAGGAAAAGTGATGAAATTTAGTGTTTCAAAGATTAAAGTGAGTGGCAAAATATTTACCTTTTCATATTCCTGGAAGAAATCTCTGTATTTCTCGTTCAGATTGTGAGCTCTGTTCATCATGATACGCCATACAACGTAGTTCGCTAGTGTTCTGCAAAAAAACATAACATGTTTATTGCATTAAATTAAATTTTAATCCTCATACGACGCTTACATACAAAGTGTCCAGAAAGGGATGTCCAGATGTATTCAGGTCACGTGTTACGTGAGTTCTTCCGCCCTTTAGCTATCGTTCAATGTCTTCCTTTAAAAGACCCGTGAAGATCCGGGGTAGAATAGGTCTTCAGCAACCCATACTTGCCGTAAAAGGCGACTATGCTTGTCGTAAGATGCGACTAAAGGGATCGGATGGTCAGGCTCGCTGATTTGGTTGATGCATGTCATCGGTCCCAATTAGGTGGATCGATGCTCATAACGTCAATCACTGGATTGTCTGGTCCAGACTCGATTATTTACAGGCAGTCGCCATATAGCAGGAATATTGCTGAGTGAGGCGTGAAACAACAAACCAACCAACCAACATTCGACTTGTATATCGTATCGCGACCTGGCTGTTAATACACATTGGTGAAGGTGCCCAAATAGATACTCTGTATAGTATTACACAGCTACAGTTCACTCACATGTGGAGCTACCTATAATCAATGCCTCACCCCTCACCTGTTGGACGTGGCCTCAAGCAGTACCATCAGTTTCTCAAAGTACACAGGAGACCTGTTGATGACTGGTTCTCCCTCCCCCACCTCCAGCGACACCTCCGTCATGTTCAGCAATTCTTGGAAATACCGCAACCAGTCAAACTGCAAATGAAATTCCATCTTCACCGTTTGATTCTACCCAGATTTAGAATCTTACACGCTTGATAAATATTCATTTTAAATGAAAGCGTAAATTGAAGTAGCTAGAAGACACTATTGTGACTAACTGACTGTCATCTAAGAAATTCACCCCGATTATTATTCGTGGTCCCTCATCAAAAGGCGCGCGTTCTTGGGTTTCATACTGCGAAACGCCCACGACCTTTCCTCAACCATTAAGCTGACACGCTGTGGAACTGAAGTCTGTCTCACAGTCTCCGAACCATATTATTTTCCCTTCCAGCCCTCACTGTAATTATTTAACACTAAATGAAGTACAAAGAATTCCCACATGCTCCTCTTCAATTTAAATGTTGTTACTCGTTGCTTTCAAGCGTTATTATTATTAACGTTAGTCCAGTATAACTGAAATACCGTTAAAAGCGTGCACATTCACTCACTACTACCTATACCAGTATTCCTTCTGAAACACCCTGGGAGTACATAACTTCAGTTGTCAATCGACCTGTGAAGATCCGGGGTAGAATAGATCTTCAGCAACCCATGCTTGCCGTACAAAGCGACTGTGCTTGTCGTAAGAGGCAACTAACGGGATCGGGTGGTCAGGCTCGCTGACTTGGTTGATGCATGTCATCGTATCCCAATTGCGTGGATCGATGCTCATAACGTCAATCACATGATTGTCTGGTCCACACTCGATTATTTACAGACAGCAGTCATATAGCTGGCATATTGCTGAGTGCGGCGTTAAACAACAAACCAACCAACCAGTTGTCAATCCCACTCTACACACGTCATGCCTGTCGGATACCCATTATTCATCTTGGTAGACTATTACAGTGTTTACAAACATCAACGCCGTTGTCAGCGAACCCTGATAGTTAAAACCTCGTTTATGTATACTCTGGTTTGGTTTTGTAAAAAGTTATTTAGACAGAACAGACTTTGGAATTTGAGAAACTTGTCATTGTGTGGGCGTACCTTGGGGTAGCTGACTGCTAGCTGGGATATGTTGAACACGTTGTACAGGTCCTCGCTGTCTCGCCGGTCCTCCGAAGGCACGGAGATCTGCAGGTTCGTGAGAACATTGTGAGCTAATGTTGACACGAAGTTTCATAAGCCTCGAAATCATGTCAGAAGAAATGGGGGTTACCTTGCGTTCAGGATTATTGCACTTACCAACGTGCCTGGAAGTGTATACGTTTGTGTGGTGTGTGTGTACGTGTGTCTGAATGTGCGTACGTGAGTGTGTGCGCGCGCGCGTGCGTGTGTGCGTGCTTGTACTTGTCCGGACTAATACCGGTTTTATAGTGCTAGTTCACTGAGATACCGGTTTTATAGTGCTCGCTCACTGAGATACCGGTTTTACCGTGCTCGCCAACACAGATACCGGTTTTATAGTGCAAGCCCACACTGATACCGGTTTTATAATGCTCGCTCACTGAGATACCGGTTTTATAGTGCTCGCTCACTGAGATACCGGTTTTATAGTGCTCGCTCACTGAGATACCGGTTTTATAGTGCTCGCTCACTGAGATACCGGTCTTATAATGCTCGCCCACTGAGATACCGGTTTTAAAGTGCTCGCCCACTGAAATACCATGCCGCAGTTTTTAACATGGGTCGCCCACTCAGGTACATTAAACCGACTCCGCGTGTGCGCGCGGGCGCGTCTGCTTTTAATAGTCCTAACTAAAACCATTTTTTTGGTACTCGCCCATTGAGATACCATGCCGCAGTTTTAACACGGATATATTAATTCCGAGCCGTTCAATCCATGTTTTCCCCGTTAATGCCGAGCGCCAGGCAGGTTAACAACAAGTACCATCTTTTGCCGTTTTCGGGATGGCGCAGCCTGGGGACAGAACCCGGGGGACTCTCAAGATAAATATTTTGGGCGTCACAGAGATAAAAACTCACAGGGGGAATTCACTGACTTACTATGACTTCTTCAGGTCGTCCAGACGTCGCACAATACAAGTGACTTCAAATATTGAAAGTGAGTCCATGGCATCGATTTGCTAACCAAGCAATTGTTTTGCGTTTATGTTTCCATGATATTATAACGATTAGGCCACACCCTCCAGCGAACTATTTTGACATTTATCTGGCTTCTTGTGTTGAATTTTTGCGCTGGCCGACTTATTTCTTATCGTTGCCTACCGTAGTGTACGTGTTAACTATTTTAATAAGAAGTCTTTGATGTCTTTTTTACTTTTTTGATTGTCATTCTTTTTTACGTACGCAGATGTCCACAGTGTTAACACCGGTTCAACCCCATAAACGCAAATAAAAAGTCAATTCTTAAAAAACAAAATATATAATGATGCCATAGCACTGTACATGATCAAAAGCTATTTATTGATTTCATGGTTTGAACTTAATGGTTGAAGGTTGAAAATCAGACATGGAGAGGAGAGTACTTCTGATCCGAATTTTTTTTTTAAATCATTCTTATTCTGCATACCACAATTGAATTAGTTATGATTCACACTACAATACCTTTTGCGAACTGTTTTGCATGTTATTGCTCCATTGTAAATATTGATGCACATTGGACGCACATTTGGCGTCCACTCACCCTGAAGAATGACCTGTTTTCGCGACTTTCTGTACATAGAGGGGGTCATGGTGGCCCCTACAGCTTCACAGAGGCACCTTCTGCTGTACGTATGTTTCTATTGTTAAGACGTGAGTGACCTGAGTCAACCACATTTCTGGCAACCAGGGTTGAATGAATTAAACTAAAAATGCAACCTTAGATAAAATTCGAAAAAGCTGCCAAGAGAAGCAAACCACAACAGCCGCGTGTATTACTGTGACGTTCAACTGTGAGAGGGTAACATGTGTTTCATCGAAAGGTATAATGCACTGGCGCATATCAGAATGCAGTAACACGTCCTATTTTCAGGGTCTCTTTGCCAAACAACAAGAAAGTACAAAATATCGCCCAGAACATCAAGATAGAGATGACATTCATCATCAAAGTTGTATTATTGATTCAAAAGTATATTTTTAAATAAATTTTCTTTAACGATAGGGGCGGTGGTGTAGCCTAGTGGTTTAGCGTTCGCTCGTCCCGCTTTAGGCCCGGGTTCGATTCCCCACTTGGGTAGAATGTGTGAAGCCCATTTCTGGTGTCCCCCGCCGTGATATTGCTGGAATATTGCTAAAAGCGGCGTAAAACCATACTCACTCACTCTTTAACGACGACATCACTTGGAGGCTGCTCACCAGAGAAACGCACCCCAGGGGTTCATCATGTATGGGAAACTTTGGTCAACCAACGTATGGCGTAAATCATGTTTTGAAACTGAGCGCCAGCCTTGCCTTTGTTCTCTGTGTCTGGTACTCACATTGGCCAACAGTATTTCGAAGTCCACGATGGCCTTGACGTCCGCTGTCACATCTATGCTGTGATTACCAAGTTCAGAGGCTATTTTGGTGATGAGTTTCTCGTACGCCATCAACATGACGTCATCGCGCCCTCGCTGGTAGTACTTCTGTCCTAGCATGCCGAAGTCGGACTGGTCAACCTGTCATGGAAACAAGGAGGATCGGATGGTCACAACGGCTGATCAGTGTGGACAGTTTTGGGGGAAGGGAGTGAGTTGGGTTAAACTTCGCTTTTTACAGTGTTTCAGTTATATAATGGAGGGCAGTTCTTGAATGGTTGACTTCACGGAAACTTGAAGTGAGTGTGTGGGTATTTGCATTTGTACCATGGGTGTCAGTTTGATGTGAGTGTGTGCGTGCGTGTGCTTGCGTGCATACTTGCGTATGTGTACTGTGCTACCATGGGTGTCAGTTTGATGTGAGTGTGTGCGTGCGTGTGCTTGCGTGCATACTTGCGTATGTGTACTGTGCTACCATAGGTGTCAGTTTGATGTGAGTGTGTGCGTGCGTGTGCTTGCGTGCATACTTGCGTGTGTGTACTGTTCTTCCATGGGTGTCAGTTTGATGTGACTGTGTGCGTGCGTGCATACTTGCGTGTGCGTACTGTGCTACCATGGGTGTCAGTTTGATGTGTGTACGTACGTGTGCTTGCGTGCATACTTGCGTGTGCGTACTGTGCTACCATGGGTGTCAGTTTGATGTGAGTGTGTACGTGCTTGTGCGTGTGTGTGCATTTGTACCATGGGTGTCAGTTTAATGTGTGTACGTGTGCGTGCGTTTGTGTGTTCATTTGTACCATTAGTAGTAGTAGTAGTGGTTTATTTCAGTAAATCAGGCCACAGGCCCATTTTACAATATATATATTCAAGCATTCAAACATGTTGCGCCACAAGTGCATGTAGTAATATCAATACTAATCCGTACACTAATTTGTACCATTAGTGTCAGCTTAATGTGAGTGTGTACGTGCGTGTGCGTGTGTGTGCATTTGTACCATGGGTGTCAGTTTAATGTGAGTGGAGGTGTATGTGTGTGTACGTGCGTGTGTGTGCGCGCGCAGTTGTACATGGGTGTCAGCCTTTGCGTGTGCGTGTGCGTGTGCGTGTGTATTCGAGTGTGTATATGTGTCTGTGTCCGCGAATGCTGAATAGACTAGGGTCATCTATGTTCACCACCTTGCAAGACTAAATCACTGCAAATAGGGAAATGTTTCGGGAACTATCACGAATCGTGAAACCCTGACTTACGTAGAGAATTCGTCGGGAAGAGTTCTTGAGGTCGGTGCCGACGTTCATGCTGAGGATGGGGTGGTTGTTGTACTTCCGTAGCTGGATGAGCGACCCCACCAGGTCGAAGTTCTCCTCCCTCCACGACGTGTTGATCATCGGCCAGCCCCCCAGGGACACGAGGAACTGCAGGGCTGGCTCGGCACCTCGCTCTTCCAGCTGCGCTGTGGGTAGAGCGGCACATGAAGTGCTTGGTGGTGATGGCGGCAGCAATAATAATAATTAATAATAATAATAATGATGATGATAGTAATAATGATGGTGGTTATGATTATGAGGACGACGTTACACTAATAATAATGACAGTGTCGATAAGATGTACATGTCACAAGGATGTCAATGATGATGATGGGTTTTGGGTTTAACGCCCTTTGACCAGTTTTCCAGTTATATCACGGCGTGTCAGCTTACTGTAAGAGGAAAGCTCGATGTGATGCAGGTCTCAGACGTTTTCTTACTTTGGTGACATCCACAAGCAGGGGGAATGGTGCTGACAAACCAAGAAACATAATCGGGAGAACCGGGAATCGAACCCACGATCATAGGTTTCTGGCGTTCTCGGGGAAGCAACTCTGCACATCGATTTGTGGCGCCTCGGAGGACTGGGCCACCCGTGTCCCCTGATGATGATCATGATCATGAGGAGGAGGAGAAGGAGGAGGAGGAGGAGAAGGAACATACTTGTAACTATCGGCTTGTGAAGAAGATCTCTGTAACATGATACTTACTTTCGTTGATGCAGGAAGAGTACAGTGCCTTCACCTTCTTCACCGACTCAATCTCATTCTCCCGCTCTGTCTCCAGGAGATCTGCAACCAACGAGCATGAACATAAAACCAACTATTTCGTCATCTTTAATCCTTTACCACTGATTGGTTGGACCGGTTGTGGGCACCACGCTCCTGACGGAGCTGTTCTTGGTTTAATGCATGATCCCTGTCGTCCACCACCCCACCCAACCCCACCCCACCCCACCCCAACCCCACCCAACCCAACCCAAGACCCCCTGGCGTGGATCGTTGCTCATACCTTGTCACTTGTATTTCTGACCCAGGCTCGATTATTCACAGGACACCACGATGTAGATGGAATATTGCCGACTGCAGCTTTGGACATCATTCACTCAAGCAATCATGAGGCGGTAGTAAAATCTGATCCGACGGCGGTTGCCAGTGAGTTTAACCACGGACGTATTCTATATACGTCTTTGGTTTAACGCAACTTTCAGCAACATTCCATCCACATCATAGCGGAGGAGCTCAAGAAAGGGCACCGCACGCTGTACCCATGAGGGGAATCGAATCCGGCCCCAGTTTAACCACAATGCAGGTGGAACGCATGGGAAGCATCTGCCTCTCATAATTGGATTTCCACTACGTCAAAACATTTCATGAGCCCACTGGAGAAACGAATTAAGACAATGGAGGTATATTTGATATCCCTCAGTTTTATTTGTGATATATATATTTTTTTATTCCGTTTTACTTCTTAAGACTATTTTCACTTTGTCACGGTAAGTACGACGCCTCACTCTGAACACAATAAGTCATTTCTGCTGAAAATAGATCTCTGAGGTGACTCGTTGCCTCAGCCGGCACCATATTGATCCGTCGACCTCATTCGTCACCACTCGCCCCTTTCCGTAAAGCTGCTTGATGAAAAAAATCGTTGCACAGTACTTTTATCTGTGTACGATACTGGGGTTTAATATTTGCAGGTATGTATGATTTACACCATCAGATAGAAAAATTAATATGCTACATCTCTGGGTAATTATATCGCCGGAGGTAGATGCCTTTACTTTTCCGATCTTAGGTGAATGTACGTTAGAAGAAAAATACTCGGCATTAAGCGGGATATACGTGTATCATTACGCAACGAATAGACAATTCTTTTGGCTGTGCCCGTTAACGCTTAGGCGGAACCCAGTCGCAAAAATGGCCACGAGAGGGGCATGAGTGGCTATTTGGCTCGTCCTGGAATAACGAGTTGGTCACGAATGCCGTCGACCTGGCAAACCTCTATCGGTTACGGAAAGAGGCGAGGTTGGTCGATTGTCAGATGCCTGTGACACGATGTGTTTTTACTTCACCAACTCTCTAAACTACGACCTTCGGCTATCGCATGTTCCGGGTGAAGCTGGGAAGACATATAAAAGAAGTTTTAATCAGTTTCAAGATACGTATAAATAAATGAATCTGGATATGACAAACCAGTGGCAACACCCAACCCGTCGGTTACGACGACACAAATCAGCCAAGTTATAAATTTTGACCACCTGATCCTCATTTTAAATGGCTCTGACGAGACACAGGAGTCACTTGGGACAGCAAAGTGGGACACTTGGGACAGCAAAACCTTGTTAACACGAAATCAATAGATATGTCACATTGATGTCATATAACAATATTGCTTAAATACATCTGGCAACACACTTTAAAATGCGGATTGTTCCAAATATTTTGGATGCTCCGAAAATCTAGATCAAGATCCATGTAACGTTTAAGTCGATGTCACTTCATGATCTTCTCCTAATCCATGTGACCACTAAGGTCAAACATTCCTTATCTCGAACTACAGAAAACTCGAATAATTCTTGATGGTCCGCAAGGTCCCTTTCACAAAGCGATCGTAGCTACACAAAGTCACTGTTAAAGTATATGAGTTACGAAAGTCGTAGATCTACGGCCGCTTTGTGAAACGGGGCCCAGGACTTTGAGTTGACAAGGTTTCAGTGTATTTTTTATACTTTTTAGTATGACGAGGACTTCGTCCCGGAGCACACCAAACATGTCGAGGCTTGACTTGTCTTCAGGGATGACGTTCTTCTTCATCCAAGACCCGCAGGCGAAGTCGTAGAAATTGTCACATGGGTTGACTGAGGAGTCCATCACCGAGCTCAGGCGGGAGGCTGAAACAGGTGGTAGGCCATCAATAAGTTTTTTTAGCTGACGGAAATTAATTTTTAATTTTTAATTAAAATTTAGTACAACCGGGTCCTGAGTTTGGGGGTTGATTGATAAGTTCTGAGCCTCGCATAGAAGGAATTGCGTAAAAGTGAAATCTTTTGTTGTGGACTTTACATGAATCAGATGTGAAAGAGGCTAATCGTTAAAAAACTTTTGTCAGTTGAGCAAATTGTTTCGCCGTGACAAGTCAGTAAAATAAGCAGGGATCTGTGACCTTTGGGAAATGGACAAATTTGAGGAACGCGGTTATCACCATCAAACCCTCGTATCCTGTAAGATACGCTAACGGCCTTATACATAAAACAAAGCATTGGAAAACACGGAATGAAAAGGCGACCAGAGTCTCTAGACACACCATCATGTTAGTAAGGGTAAATATTGACTATAGGAATGACCAATAATCAAGTGAATTACTTTTATCTTTTATCTGGAGATAATGCATTCAAACTCCAATGACTAACCTACCGGCACAATGATTCTGAACAATTTAGAGATAGTCATCGAGTGATACTAAAGGCTGGAAGACCTGAAGTAACGTATGGTCAATTTAAGTCACAATATAATTCTCTTTCTGGAATCGTCATCTTTATTCAATGTATCTCGCAAAACTAATAATTAATTGAGTGAGCATATGCACTGTATAGTGCCCTGAACGTCCTTACACATAGCCTACGACCCGTGAAGATCCGGGGTAGAATAGGTCTTCAGCAACCCATGCTTGCCGTAAAAGGCGACTATGCTTGTGGTAAGAGGCAACTAACGGGATCGGGTGGTCAGGCTCGCTGACTTAGTTGAGGCATGTCATCGATCCCAATCGCGTGGATCGATGCTCATGATATGAATCACTGGGTTGTCTGGTCCAGACTCGATTATTTACAGACCGCCTTCATATAGATGGAATATTGCTGAGTGCGGCGTAAAACAACAAACCAACCAACCATAGCCTAAACTCGAGCCGCTTTTAACATGGCTTCACGATGAGTACCCTCAACGCCGTTCTGAACAGAATTTCAGTTACATCACGGGTCGTCAGTGGAACTAGCAGTTTTATTTCAATTGTAGTTTCTCTCTGTTTCCCTTATTGTCGACAAGATATGTTTGTTCGGGGATAGTAATGTTGGAGGGCTGCTAATCCGCCTGACATGCGTGTTACAGGCGGTATGACAGGTGCGACAGGTGGTACGTGACATGTTTCAATGTGAGCGTTGTCATCATCATAATCTCCATCATCATCATCATCATCATCATCCCTGTACTGGGAGCAGGGCTCATCATACGTCACTCTGATGACGAGCGACCATGGGAATGTCTGGGAATAATAAGTGAGTGAGTTGAGTTTACGTCACTTTGGTCGGTATTTCAGTTACATCACGGCGTGTCAGCTTGATGTGGGAGGGAAACACGAAGTGTTGGCAGGCCATATATGTTTACCACTTTGATTAAACCAATGAGCACCGGTATGGAATCGGGGCGAACCGGATTTTTGGCACGACGAAGGGACGCAACTCTGCCAACCCAAAGGCCGCGCCTCACACGACATGGCCACCCCTGCCCCAGCTTCATGTGGCCGATGATGCAGGTAAATGGCATGTAGCGCACTGATGAATTCCACGAGCACGGGTATAATGTTGACCAACAAAGATTCTTGGATTCCAACCCAGGACCCGAGGTTAGACTTAATTCGGTCCGGAAATAAATTGAATGAAATAAGGGTTGTCCACTTTTGGATAAAACAATAAACTGTACAATGAAAGAAGGGCTTTAAGAGAAAGGCTTAAAATATCACACGATTCGTTGTCTAAACGGGGCGGTGGGGAAGCCTAGTGGTTAAAGCGTTCGCTCCTCACGCCGAAGACCCGGGTTCGATTCCCTTCATGGGTACAATGTGTGAAGCCCATTTCTCGTGTCCGCCGCCGTGATATTACTGGAATATTGCTAAAAGCGGCGTAAAACCATACTCACTCACTCGTTGTTTCAACTGGCTAAAGGCTAGAATGATACATAAAATTCTCTTACCTGCCATTACACATTCCTCTGTTGTGCACACATCTGCAATGAAAGGTCAATATGTTCAATAACACAACACAGTCATAATGTGCACACATCTGCAATGATAGGTTAATATGTTCAATAACACAACACAGTCATAATGTGCACTCATCTGCAATGATAGGTTAATATGTTCAATGACACAACACAGTCATAATGTGCACACATCTGCAACGATAGGTAAACGGGCCAGTCATACCCGATTATCCGGTGTATTTATTCTCCATTCTATTATGATATGATATGATATGGTGCATTCGTCAACATAGCTTCGTTTCGGATGTGACGTCACCACCCCCATCGCTCCTTTCCCTAACTATCCGCAGAATTGCTCTCGCGCGTGAGAGAAATATGCTTGGACGGCTATTTTTAGGGTCGTGTAATTCGAATCGTGATCAAAAAATAATTTTTTAAAACTTCCCGATAAACACAACTAAAATTGGTATGCTTATTCGCACGATACTGTATTGTTACTATGGAGATAATAATGTTTGCGCAATAAACCGTCTTAAGTAATTTACCGTTACACCATAAACTCATTTGAAACAGACAAAGCCTGTGGTGGTTTTCACACCGGATAGCAAACGCGACACTTTATACATCACGCTGTCCTACTTTGCGCCAGATCGTGACAAGAGGCAATACCACACAGTTTCTAGATGTATACTAATAATATACCGTCTGCCAATGCTTAAACGATAGAAACATGGTAACACGTTCTACACACTGACTGGAAGATTGGAAAAGAGGGAATGACTTGGAGAATATTCAGATTTAGATTCATTTATTTACTCAATACAATACATACTTAACATTAGATAAATATACATTTAACAATTTAAGCCATTGTATACATTGCATGTTTGGTTGGTTGGTTGGTTGGTTTGTTGTTTAACGCCGCACTCAGCAATATTCCAGCTATATGACGGCGGTCTGTAAATAATCGAGTCTGGACCAGACAATCCAGTGATTGATATCATGAGCATCGATCCACGCAATTGGGATTAATGACATGCATCAACCAAGTCAGCGAGCCTGACCACCCGATCCCGTTAGTCGCCTTTTACGGCAAGCGTGGGTTGCTGAAGACCTATTCTAACCCGGAATCTTCACGGGTCATTGCATGTTTGAATTAACATCAGGATAAAAGGTTTTAGAACTCATTCATGAGTATGGAGGTATATTTACACACATTTCTGTTTCGTGGACATAGTGCTGCCAATTTATGGGTATTGGAGAACTTATAATGATATTCGGGGATGTGTAGAGATCTTTAGAGAGCAAAGAATTCACATTTTAAAAAAAATATGATATTCACCAGCAGCTACAGGGGAGGTTAATAGTTGGCATGTTTGCTTTGTCAATCTATGGTTAAAAGTTCACAATTTTAATGGAGGGATAGATATGTTTTGGTTAAGTAAGAGGTATTTGAAAAAAGAGCTGTCACAACCCGTGTCGAAGACACTTTAAAGGATCAGTTTCTTCAAGAATGGCGATGCAATATCGTATCTAGTTCTGAAGGCAATCTATATAAGTGCAGCTCTTTTTTCAAATACCTCTTACTTAACCAAAACATATCTATCCCTCCATTTATTTCATCGCCATTCTTGAAGAAACTGATCCTTTAAAGTGTCTTCGACACGGGTTGTGACCCACTAAGTCGTATCTGAATAAGGATTATCAATCACGTTACATAAACCACAATAGTTTAGTATATTAGTCATACATTCTAACCACTTATTATTATGTCCATGACTTCTGGGATCATGATAAACATTATTATAAACTTAGCATCTGATTAATGGTTGTTGTTTCATTGTTGCGTTCATTATATCCGTCAGTTCGTTATAAACGTGTTCGTTATAAACGTAGTTTACTGCACTCTCTTATATTGATGTTTTGGCTTTTTGTAAGATTTACGTCTTTCACATTCTGGCCCAAACCATCGCTTGTTTCTTTCTTGGGTATTTCCAGGTCGATCGCGCCTTACGCCGTATGATGCACGTGCTGATTCCGCAAGCACGTTGGCAATGGCATAAGCTATGGTGTTTATACCCCTAACTGGGGCACTGTCACCTGCAACTACTGAACTATTGGCTTCGCTTATTATTGTCACTGAATATGTGTAATATTTTTAACAAAAAGATTTTGAGCTATCGAACTTTTTAGGTTTGTTGTTCATAACAGTAGAGAGGAGTATCACCATATTTGGTGTTGTCTGTGGGCTCTTCTACTCTAGGTTGTTTTGTTTTAGACAAGGATAAGGTGAGAGGGCAATGGACATCTGCCAACAAACTAGAGAAATCTAAAACTTAAAAGGATTTAAACATGGGTAGGCAGGTAAAAGTAAACAAAACATAGTCCACCACATTTGCATCTTTGCATGTGTATGTACAAATATGTAGGTCATTTCCTAAGCTGCCGTTACAAATGAATACATTATTATGTTTACATATATCAATCAAATTATGATCGTAATTATTAAAACGTTTATTATCTGAAACTGGTCACGCTAATGGTAACTTGAGTTCAGTACAGTGTCCGGGTTAAAGTGAGTTCATCGGCGATACGCTCATCCAGAATGCAGTCATCAGATAGGCAACTTCTTCAGGCATTACAATCACCCATTGAAATAACGTTTTCGGAGATTGATAACACTTCAATCAATGAACTCTCTAATTAGAAAAATATTTCCTTGGACGCGTATTTAGAACAGAATCCGATGAGTAACTGATTGTCTGTCTTGAGGGAATGGATGACTAAAGCACCGAGCGTGGGGCGAGGACTGGCACAAACATTTTTCATTCCCGAGTATCATAGCGCCATGTTGAAGTCGTCACACCACCCTTGGTGTTAACTTGGGAGGAACTTTCTATGCTTCGAGGAGGTAATGACGGAAGATGAATATTTTATCATTCACTCAAAAGGATAATCATAGTATTCAACTCTATTTATCATATACTTGGCTGATAAATTGACTGATTATCCAACAATGGCTCCCACAGGAGACCAACACGTGGGACCGGAGGACATATCGCTCTTTTAATCGCCAAGTGGTCGCCACCGTAAACATCTGGGGTAGAATTTGTCTTCATAATATATGAATTGTCTGGCTCATTCTTTATTGTTCACAGACCCAAGTCATATAACTGAAATATTGAGTGCGGCGTTAAACAACAAACACACACACCAATTGGTCGATTGACAGACATGTTATAGCGTGTATACATGTTCAAATCACACTCTTGCTGCTTCATCTGTTGGGCAGAAGACGGTTGTTTTTAATTTGGGGATTTAAATGGGCTGAGGACTTTGTACGAGTGAGTTGGGTTTAACGCCGCTTTTAACAGTATTCCAGTTTTATCGCGGCGTGTCAGCTTAATGTGGGAGGAAAGCCCCAAGTGATGCAGGTTTTAGACGTTTACAACTGCGGTGAAACCCACGAGCACGGGTATGGTGCTGACAAACCTAGAAACATAATTGGGACGACCCGTGATTCGAACCCACAATCATAGGTTTCTGGCGTGTCCAAGGGACGCAACTCTGCACAGCAAATCGCGGCGCCTTAGACGACTGGGCCCCCCGTGCCGCCAGGTTTTGTACGATGTATTGCATGAAAAGTAGCCACATTTAAAGCTTCAACATACTTGTACTAACTACATTTTGTTTTCAAAAGGGGAGGGGCCATTCACGTTTTGTTTCTTCAATCACATTGGTTCGAGAGAGCAGACTAATGAAATAAGCGCCAAATCCCCCCTTACATTCTTACTATACCAATTACGTGTTAATAGAAATGAAACAGATATTCAAATTAAGAAACAAAGAAATTAATTCAACTGAGGGAAGAGTATTCGGCGTCACGACAATCATCGCTTGTTTGTGAACATAAGGGTCAGTCGTTTGCGAGTTCAACTCCATGCATGTTTGTGGCCACCTATCACAGTGGGGAGCTTTGACTTGTGGTTGCGAAAGTTTTGAGAGCTCGGCGAACGGGCTATCGCTGTGAGGAGCTTACCGAGAGTGTAACGAAGTGGTCACGCTCTGGGACATTCGTGACCAACTCGTGTTATTCCGGGACAAGCCAAATAGCGACTCGTGCCCCTCTCATGGCCATTTTTGCGACTGGGATCCGTCTTAGCGCAAACGGGCATATCTAAAACAATTGTCAACTCGTTGCGTAATGGTTCACATATAGTTCCCTATATATTATGTATATTTCAGATGCAATTTAAAGCACATCGGGATGTGCGGAATTATACAGTATGATCGAACATATTTAACTGTGTCTTGCGTATATTTTTAGATGCAAGACATATGTAAAATCAAAAACTATTTCTGAGGGATTATTTGACAAAGAACTCGAAATCAAACGCGCCTTCTGTTTGGTTTGTCGTATTTCCGCACATAACATTCATCGATAGGGGACGAGTCTTCTTGCAGGTCACGGAAAGGGGCGAGTGGTGGCGAATGGCTCTGGGAAGCAGCTTTGGCTTATTGGAACAAGGGGAGGCCACTCTCACCGACCTGTCTTATACCCCTTGCTCGGTTTCTGTCGGAAAACGGTTGTTATGATTACTGACGAGGTAATCACTAGGTTGTGGAGATTTCCAAAATGTGATATAATGGCCTCCTATGTATTAATATATGTGTGTCGATTTGGGTAGAGTCAATATGAACGCTTTAAATCTTCTGATTTTCCCTAAATGGCATTCTCGACCCGTGAAGATCCGGGGTAGAATAGGTCTTCAGCAACCCATTCTTGCCGTAAAAAGCGACTATGCTTGTCGTAAAAGGCGACTAACGGGATCGGGTGGTCTGGCTCGCTGACTTGGTTGATGCATGTCATCGGTCCCAATTGCGTTGATCGATGCTCATGATATCAATCACTGGATTGTCTGGTCCAGACTCGATTATTTACAGACCGCCGTCATATAGCTGGAATGTTGCTGAGTGCGGCGTTAAACAACAAACAAATAAACAAATAAATAAATAAATAAAATAAATGGCATTCTTAGAAAAAAATCGTTCATTCGAACTATTAACTTGATGCAACATCTGAGACGATGAAACTTCATGATCACGGTAGACTCGACACCGCTGTCTCGAACTTTGGTCAACTCGGTGCATCTTCGATCGCCCCGGGGCCTCGTTACACAAGGCGGTCGTGGCACTGAAACTATTGTCACTTCCAGACTTTAAAATTGACTTACAACAGTCGCAGCGTGTTATTTTTATTATAAGTCCTATACTTAAACATAGAATTGCGACAGTCGTTTCGCGAAGATGCATTGCTAAGATAAGTTCGCTATAGGAAACTGGACCCCGGTTCACAAAGCGATCTTAGTGTCACGACGGTCGTAAGTCCTATACTTTGACATCCACATGCGAAAGTTGTAGCGTTAGGTTCGATTTGGGAACGGTGCCGTGGTCCTAGAATTCGAGTAAAGAAATGTTTACTGTTTGAATTATGTCCGACAAGGGGAATATATATAATAGTACTATGAAGAATCAATATAAGAGAACGTACTCTGTAGTTCCTCCGTCTTCTCGTAATATACGACAAAGGCGACGAGGAAGGCAATGGCAGCCAGTAGCAAGATGGCGGATACGGCAATCAGACATTTCTCTAGAGTCGAGCGCTTGTTCTTTGTGAAACTGAAACAGTAAACGAGAATTAAGAATGACAGACTGAAGAAATGGTGGCAAGTTTTACCGAAGTGTACGACATTTTGATACAGGCAGTAAAACAACATGACGCCGGCGAACATCTTCAAATTAAGGCGTGAATCTATGTCTAAACGCCGGATGCTCAAATATTTATTCCCATCAAGTTCGCCAACACGATGTGATTTCATGGGACCCATCGCCCTTGTTTGTGTTTTAGCTCTAGATACAAGGACAAAACACCCTTTCTACCAAAGGCCATTTGGTTGTGACTTGACTGACTGTGAGATGTGCCATGTCATAAACCTCTGTTTTGTCTGACCCAGCCTCGATTATTTACAAACATATATGTGCGGTAATAAACAACATACAAACAATTCAGATGTTGCTCTGATTGGTTTGACCAAATCATGCTTTTTTCACTTACAACCCAGTCTGAAAACAGCATATATGGATACAATGTTTTCAAATTATGATGACTCAACCGAGTTGAAACCTTAAGGACTGAGTTTCTACCAAAGGGACTAAAGAGATATTCTTCGGGGTAAATAATATTGCTGCCCATTTCTAATCTGGCATATGTCATGTGATACTCCTGTATGGTGAGGTCTGTTTCTGAGGTTCCAATGTATTTGCCGAGGTCGGATACTGCTCTGCGGCAAGACAAAGCACATTCGTCAACACTCGTATATTTGGAAGAGGGTGAAGATAGTTTCTTTGTATGGCCTAAATGTGCAATAACAATCATGTTTAAAACATGCTTTAACAACCAGAAAGAATACCACATAAATGCAGACAGACACTTTAACAGCCGTACGTCTTTGGGGGATGTTTCTGCTGGCATATTTATCTTATGTATACATGGTAAATATATCAGCTTCACAGGTCGTTAGAAAGTGGAATTCACCCTTCAAGTTTCTGTACGGAACGTAATCTCAGTGGTCTTTTTCCGTTGTCGATCATGCATCTAGCTTCATTATTCCACATCCGTGAAGTGGATGGAGCGTCTGCCTGGAGAGCGGACGTTAAAAGATGGAACTTGTTACTCTGCGCGGTGCTCATCATTAACGGGATAAAACAGAGACTGTCCGGCTCGGAGTCAGTATAATGTGTCTGAGTGGGTTTTTCAGGACAACTGCTGCATTGTAGCTCCGTGAACTAGCACTATAAAACCAGCATAAGTCCGTTGTTGAATGTGCATTTGTCTCTTTATTATATAATATAACAATTATATTTTTTATATAAGGCCAATACCTGTTATTTTATGGACACATCTTAATATTGCTTTTCAGATCCATAAAAGCAGGTACTGGCTGCATAAAGAGTCTATAATAAAGTTAGTATTTTCCCAATATTCAAATGACTAATGTTGTCTTTTGATTATGACGTCATGGTTAACCGATGACGTCACAATGGTCTGCAAAGCATTGTGATGCAATTTCACTGTAGCGATATCTCATCGCTTGATAAAACCCCAGCGATATCTCTTGTGGAAGCCAGTTTTGGATGATAAAAACATTTTAGACGACTGGGCATAATCATGTGTGACATTGTCAGTTGTGGAATTGGCCGGCTGGAAACCTTTTGTTGTACTCCGTCCCTATATTTGCCCAAAGCCATAGTTTGTTATTAAGAACAGGTGTATAAACATTGCCACGAATTCTCAAGTTTTATATACCACTAAAATTATCAGGGTTTTTTAATCCCCTTTTTGGTCGATAGGTTTTCTGAATGCCTTTGTACAAATATCAGGGAAAAAACAGAGTTGATCTAAACTGCCGTTCAAATGAATTTATACTCCTAAAAATTGGACTTGAAAATTACATCGCTTCTAGGCTGATAACATGCACCGGAACACTGCAACTATGAACACAATTATGATACCCGTATCAAATACATCCCCATCGAATAACTATTGCTTGTTTGTTTCATGTTAAGCCACCACCAAACATGGGTGTATACTTTTTTACATATGCATGCTGAAAATCAGTGATACAATGGTTTCTTCTGTTTTACTAAGAAAGAAGGAAACAAATAAAAATAAAACTGGGGGGGGGGGGGGGGGGGGGGGGGGACCTCAACACCAAATGCTGAACATTGAATGTTTTCGTAAACAAGTTTTGTTTGTGAGGAAAACCTGGGGCAATGTCCAAATGTGACAAATTATTTGGGTTTTTTATATATCAGCAGAATCAAATGGTCTCAGCCAATGTTACACGAGAACTAGTTCCTAAATTTCTCAAAAGGTTTACGTGATTGAGCAAAGTTGAGTTCTTAAGTTCCAAGCCCAGCATGTTTGTATTCAAGCTTTACTTCGTCGAAATTCACTTTTTTGGTACTGGCAAGTTGCCTTGAGTATCTTCGGGCCCTAGAGTATGTTCGCTTGTATTTATAGCGACATATCTGTTTAAAGACGAGTATCGTTGGTTCCTTAATATCTTCAAGTCGAAAACGAACTCAAAACATCACACTCAACAAATACCGCTACCCTAGAGATTTGTCTTCAACTTTGTCATGGTAGAATGGAAGAAAATTGAATTACTTTATTTTCAAAAAAGAGTTAATTGTAGGCTTGACGGTAAAACCGATCGCGGAAAATGTTAAATTTAGAGCAAGAACGATATCAAATTCCATCTTGTGACGTTAACTCTACAAGTAACATAGGCCCGCATTTACAACACGGGGACTTGAGAATGTTTGTTTGTTTGTTGTTTAACGCCGCACTCGGCAATATTCCAGCTGCATGACGTCGGTCTGGAAACAATCGAACCTGGACCTGACAATCCAGTGATTGACAGCATGAGCATCTATCTACGCAATTTGGATACTGATCCATTGACCCGGGTAAGGATAATGTAGGGCCATGAGTATTCATGAATGGAATTTGGCGCACTACAAATGGACTTTATATGGATGAAAAGTCACACATTCTGATGGTACAGCTATGCTCATTTTACTGACAGTTTTCCATCTGGATGAGATGACAGACGGTCCATCAGCGTCACCGCAGTTTACTGTTTAAGATGTTAACTCCTGACTGTTCGTTCAAGTATATGAATAGCTGTATAAGGCCTGAGAACGGTCCCAGAAGAGTGAGTAGTATATCTCAAATAAAAGGTACGCGAATGAGATAGATAGGTTTGCATTCGACACAAGACGGATGACAGATCACTCCGCCACCGATGTCGCAGTTCCACCAAGCACATCCAGCAAGTTTTAGGAGGCATTCACACGGTACAACTCCTTGTAAACACTTTCATACATTGCATCGTGTGACCCTGCAAGTTGGGCCATTTTTTAACGAATGCAACTTGTCCGACGTGAGTTGTACGACATATAGGACAGCTGTGTTTTCATTTAAAAATTTGAACCTAATTTGAATTTTGTTTATATTTTTTTAAATTTTGCAAACACTGTTTTTTTTTAAGTCGCCATTGCAAGAGAGGGTGAATCGTTCCTGCGAATAGGTAGGGATAATTTACGTTTCTGGGTTTTACATTTGTAATGAAATCATTTAATTTTCCGGTTAACAACTACATAAAAGGTATATAATAATAACTAGAATATTCCACTCGTGAAAATATCTCCTATCCCCTGTCACTTGATGAGAGAAACATGATATTTCACTCGACACATGGAATATCCTCGATGTATTACTTTTAGGTTTAGTAATAACCGAGTTCTTAAAAATCGTATGTACCTGTATGGTGCGAATATCACTTCACGCGCACTAGCGTATTGTTTACGTCATCCGCACGGCAGTGTTGACGTCATTCGAACCTATTGTGAGGTAAGGTCGGAATGACGTCACACTAGCAACGACGTCACAGCTGACGGTCGTTATCGATGCATTTTTCTAAAGAAGACCTCAAAACAATTAAGAAATATAGGAAATAAAGACATTATTACACTCGCATGTGTCATACTGATTTTACGAAACTCGTGTAAGAATTCGTGCATTACCCTCGTTCTCGCTGGGGAAATTCAGGAATTCTGGCACTCGTTTCGTAAAATCAGTATGACAAACATGCTCGTATAACACTCTGTACTTAAGTATCCCTGCATACATATTGTAAGAACATGTGAAATATTCAAAAGGCCAAAGTTTCATCATCACGGGTGGTTTTAAAGTACAATACAGGACAAGTAAATAACATACAGTAAGATTGACATATACCATGCTTTAGGTTTGTCTCATATAATATTTAAAAATAACAACTTATTATATATTCAATGTCATGCGAACAGCTTGGCCCCTGAACTTTACAGTGTGTTGTAGTTTATGCATACATGTATTTCTACAGAAGCTGCTGTGCACTTGCACGCTCAAATGAGAGTATTCTGATAGAAAAACATGTTCAAGTGACAAGCCAGCAACCAACGACAATGGTTGTATTGTTTGCGTGATTTTTGTGTAATCCCGCGCACAGCAATATGTCTGCTTTATGACGGCGGTCTGAAAATAATCGAGTCTGGATCAGACAATCCAGTGATTGACATCACGAGCATCAGTTTACGCATTTGGGATACCATGACATGCATCAACCAAGTAAGCGAGCCTGACAACCCGATCCCGTTAAACCTCTAACGACAAGTATGGCATCCTTACCCGGATCTCCACGGGTCGGATGTTCTAATGAGACATGAGATGTACCAATTGGGCATGAACGCATATGGTGTTAAACTGTGCTAAACAAACGGTGTACACTTCACCCACCAAGCCCTATGTCTTTTTCCATATACAGTCGAACCTCGCTTATCCGGACACTTGCTTTTACTCAAAAATTGTCGGATAAAGGAATTTCCGGAAAACTATGTCACAGGTTAGCCGTGAAGGGTTACTGCTGTGTTCGCCTACGTATGGAATCGCTGAGTGTGCGACATCTCAACTGTGTAATGAATTACTCTCTGCACGTGACAGCTGTCTATCTTCAGTCATGAATATTCATATCTGAGCCACTCATTTTGACACTGTATATAAACATGAATGT